AAAGTGCGTGAAAAAAAAAAAAAAAAAAAAAAAAAGAAGAAGAAGAAAAAAAAAGCACGGGCCTTTGAGGCTACTTTTGCCGCTATGTTTGGCCACCAATTATTTTTCCTTTTGGATATCTATTCCTCTTCCCGGTCCAGGGAGATTTCTACTGGTGACGGAAGACTACCAGCGCATTTTTTCAGGCGTTACACGAGCATCCAGATGCCAGCTGGGTGGATGATCATTATGACTTTTCTTTTCTATCTCTTTTGACCATTGCAGGCTGGTCCATTTAATGGGAGGCATCATGAAAGACCGTTGTTGTTGATATTCCCCGTCTTTTTAGACTGTTTTGTATTGATATTTATTGGGAGGCAGATACTGAGGCGTTATGGGTGATTTATCTATTGGCGAGGCGTTTGTTTATTTCTTTTCATCTTCATTTTCTTCGACTTTTTGACCCCGCTCTTAATGACGCTTGTCTTGTTTTTGAGGACTGTTGGTGGATATCTCTTTTTGTTTCTACACGGATGGGGAAAAGGGCCGGATTTTGATTTCGGATATGAATGCATGCGACGAGATGATGGAAGAGTAACACTTATATAGTGGAATGCGAGATATGCATGTTGATGAACCATTGTCTTTCTACAAGTATAAATAAGTACGTAGCCTCGCTGTCAGCAGAACCGTTGGGATGTAGGCGGATTGCGCGTTCTGTCATCGAGTGCCCGACGTGCTCCTGCTGTAAGTCTGCAGATATATTGAACTTTTCCCGTCAGATATCTTAAATTACTCTTCTTTTTATCTGCTTTCTGCTTCTTCTTTAGTAAATACTGCAGATATTTCTTCACTACTGTTGAGCCTGGTGGTGGATTACTCTCCACCGCCCGCCCAATCCAGCGCCGCCCCAACTTCACTTTTCCCTCTTCGTTCTTCTCGCTTTTTTCTCCCTTTTTCTTTTCTTGCTTTTTTCTCTTCGGATTCCTCGATCGAGCCTGATTTCTTGTCGTCTGCCTGAGTTTATCTGTTCTGGTGAGCTTTTTTCAGAACCACCAGTAAGTGATTTTCTGTTCTTACTCGCAACCTCCGAGGGGGAAAGAAAACAAGAGAGAAAAAATTTCACCCACTTGGGGAGGGAAAAACTAAGGGAATCCCTTGATTGCCGACTCACTTTCCTTCTCCCTTCCACCACCACCACCACCTCCTCCTCTATCTCCATCATCACAACAACCATAACCAACATCACCACCAGTACTGCTATCACTGCTCTTACTGTCATCTCCCCTCCTTCCCTTCTCGCCACTCCGAAGAATTCACCTCCCGATTCTCGTCCACCGCCATCGCGTCCCCGTTGTCCGTTGTCATCAACTCATCGTCGCCAACTCTCCCACCACCACCGACGACGACTACAACGACTCCTTTTTCTTTTTCCTTTTTCTTTTTTTTTTTTTTTGTCACCCTCTGTCGCTCTTCGGTTTCTCCTCCATATCGAGGCCTTTTTTCCGAATTCATCGCAGACCGGGCGGGAGCCACACCCGGCAACAACACACCGTCCTGGTCATCGGCGCATCCCCACCGTCGACGAGAAAATTTCATAACAAAAGAATTCCCTCTTTTGCATCTATCTGCATTTGCTAGAGGCTGGTTTTTATCATCTCGTCATCTGGCGTAACTTGCCAGATTTCGATTTTTTTTTTTTTCCTTTTTCTTTTTTCGTTTCTTTTTTCAGGGCCTTGGGCCTGAATTCTTTTATTTGCATTCTTCCTCTAGAATCCTTGTTTGGTAAGTTGTGCAATCCCGTCTCTGCTCCCCTAATCGCATTGGAGGAGGCACGAGAAAAATCTGTTTACGATTGGCATTGCTATCGCTTTTCTCCCTACTCTGTCGCTTCTGATTGTTTCTAACCTCGTCTTGATAGTTTATAGGCACCGCGTCATCTGTCATACCATTTCCGTGCGCTCCACGCCGATTTTTCCTCCGTCGCCAGTCGCCTCTGTTTTACTATCATCGTCTTTTTTGTTTTCCATTTTCTAGTCCTTTTTTGTCGTCCCATAAAAACCATTTCGCCATGGCTGACCAGGAAGTGGATTTGGACTCGATCATTGACCGTCTCTTGGAGGTGAGGGGTAGCCGGCCTGGAAAGCAGGTTCAACTCTTGGAATCGGAGATTCGTTTTCTCTGCACTAAGGCGAGAGAAATCTTCATCTCTCAACCCATCCTGCTGGAGTTGGAAGCACCCATCAAGGTACATCATCCCTGTTCCGTTTCTTCCACACCCCCTTTTCCCGTCTACTCCGGGTTAGAGTGGCTGTGGACTTGCTAACGGAATGGGTCCGTGCGACTAGATTTGCGGTGATATCCACGGCCAATACTATGATCTTCTGCGTCTCTTTGAATACGGTGGCTTCCCGCCGGAAGCCAACTACCTTTTCCTCGGTGACTACGTCGACCGTGGCAAGCAGTCCCTCGAAACCATCTGCCTTCTCCTCGCGTACAAGATCAAGTACCCCGAAAACTTCTTCGTTCTCCGTGGTAACCACGAGTGCGCCTCCATCAACCGAATCTACGGTTTCTACGATGAGTGCAAGCGGAGGTACAACATCAAGCTCTGGAAGACATTCACCGATTGCTTCAACTGCTTGCCCATTGCCGCCATTATCGATGAGAAGATCTTCACCATGCACGGTGGTCTCAGTCCCGACTTGAACTCGATGGAACAGATCCGCCGTGTCATGCGTCCTACTGATGTAAGTCGCTTCCCTGTACAATGTTACTGCACACTACCCACATTTTCTTGCTCCAAATACGAGGGGGAGAAAATTAATTTCCTTTCGCCTGGCTCCTTGAAGCTCAAGGCTTGATCCGCTAACCGATAACTGATATAGATTCCTGACTGCGGTCTTCTCTGCGATCTCCTCTGGTCCGATCCCGACAAGGATATCACTGGTTGGAGCGAAAACGACCGCGGTGTGTCGTTCACCTTCGGTCCCGACGTCGTCTCACGATTCCTGCAGAAACACGATATGGATTTGATATGCCGCGCCCATCAAGTCGTCGAGGATGGTTATGAGTTCTTCTCGAAGCGACAACTCGTAACGCTGTTCAGCGCTCCCAACTACTGTGGAGAATTTGACAATGCTGGTGCGATGATGAGCGTCGATGAGAGTTTGCTTTGTTCGTTCCAGGTATGTCGCAATCGCTTGTCTTGATCAGTTGGGACAGATCGCTAACAATCGTGAACAGATCTTGAAACCAGCAGAAAAGAAACAAAAGTACGTCCACGGGGGCATGAGCTTCGGCAGGCCCATCACTCCTCCGCGAAAGCAAAAGAAGTAAGAATTCGTACGAGCTTTTCTTTTTTCCATGTGCAGCAGGTTCGGGCGGCGATAGAACATATCAGCGATATCTATCACACAGCATCCACCACACGCGAGTCCACACAGTTTAGCGACACGAACGGCGACATTCGAAAGGGACCCCATGTATTAGACGACGTTCGAGAGCAGAGTCCCACGACAGCCACCGGAAGTTTCGTGAACATAAAAAGAAAAAGAGAAAAGAGGATACGCCGAGATTTCCCCCCCTCTCCCTCCCCATGTGAAATTCCAGCGACATTGAACTGTTTTGAGCGGAGTGCTTGTTTTCCCTTTTTCCTCTTATCATCTGGAACGGTACTACTATTATTCTGCTACTTGAAGGGGTTGGTCTTTTCTTTTCTTTTTCTCATTTCCATTTATCCTTGATCATTGTTCTCTCTTTCTTGTTTCTTTCTTTTTTTCACTGTGTTTTTTTCGTCCCTTTCATTTTCCCTCTTGTTGTCCCGGATTCATTTTGAGACAGGAGGAAGGGAAAAGCGACGGGTTGCATCTGGTGTTTCTCTCTCCGTTTGCCTTTTTCTCTTTTCCCTTTTTCTTTCTATTTAATCTTCCTGTGAGTGTAATGCCAAATTAAAACGCAAGGAACATGTCTTTTGTCTCTTGTATCTTCAGTACAGCAAGCACTTCTACATGCGCCTGAAATAGTCCAATCCTCTTTTTGACGAAATAATATTGTTGTCCTTAGCAAATGACGTCGGCAATTATTAACTGTGCTGTTATGATTCGTTCGACTGTATATAGGGTATGGGGGTATGTACAGAGGTCAGGGGTCATTGCTTGGTCTCGTATAATGCCATTGTACTCGGGACTCGGGACTCGACATTTGTATTGATTTTTCTGTTTGTTTGGCTTGGATATGTATGTTTGTATGTAGATTGCATGCCATGCATGTACCCTACTGCGTATAACAAACACTTGAGGTTGAGGTGAGGGGTATTTAGTCTGTAGTCCTGTCCGTTATTCTATTTCAACGAATTCTTTCCCTCGTGTAGATACTACAGTATGGCAGTCTCTATGGCAAGTATAGAGGTGAGGGAAGAGGTGAGGGAAGAGGTGAGGGAAGAGGTGAGGGAAGAGGCTCGTGAACTATGATTACTCCTATATTTCTAAATGAATCAGAAAAGAAAAAAGCGACTTGCACAAAAAAAAAAAAAAAAAAAAAAAAGCTAACACATTGACATACATGCTCTAAAAACAAATCCAGAACAAGGCTAATCTGGTCATTTACCAAAGCAAAAGCGAAAAAGAAACAGGAAGAGCAATTAACCCCAGGAATATCGAACGCTGTTGAAACTGCGGGGGTTGCGTACGGCGTACGATGTGTATTGACTTGGCTTGGCTTATTTTGTTGAGTTGAGGGTATGAAAGGGTGGGATATATGGCATGGTATGGTATGAGGGAAGGGAAAGCATCGGAATCATTTAGACGTATTGAGAGAGCCATCTGATACCTTCACCGTATCCTGTAGTGAAAAGATACATATTAGCATATGTCCCAAATGGCAAGCAAGAGATAAACGAGAAAGGAGAACATACCCTGCCTCATAACAACACTACACATAAACACCTCAATCGGCCGAATCCCCTCCAACGGCACCTTGCCCTTACCAGTAGTCTGGTACAGACCCAACTGATGTCTCAGCTCATCCTCGCTCACGGCACGGGGGTGGTCGATCTTGTTTCCGAGAACAAGGAAGGGGACCTTGGCGAGCTCCTCCATGGACAGGAGGGCGTCCAGCTCGGCCTTGGACTCGAGGAACCGCTCGTGGTCGCAGGAGTCGACCAGGAAGACGATGCCGCTGACTTCGGGGAAGTAGTCCTTCCAGAGACGGCGGGCTGTGTGTCATCAGTATTGAGGTTGTGCTGGAGGGAGGAGGGTAGGGACTCACCCTGCTGGTGACCACCAAGATCGAACGTCGTGAACCGGTTGTTTCCGATGGCGAGTTCCTCCGATGCTGATCGTTGTCAGTCCTGTGCTTTCTTCCTTTCAAATATCCAATCCGGAGTATCCATCAAGTCCCGGGAAGCGAAGGTACGTACTAGGGTGCGCGGTGGGCTGCAGAATCGCAACGCGATCGTTCTATTTCCCTGTTAGCATCCGTCTACCACAACCTTCCAAGGTAAGAGAAGAAAACTCACCTTCAACATATGCAACAAGGTCGTCTTTCCGGCATTATCAAGACCGAGGAAGAGAAGCTTGGCGTGCTTGTTGAGAAGACCCAGCGAGGCCAAAATATCGTAGACTGATCGACAGGTTCAAAATTAGCATAACGACTTTCATCAACCCGGGATCTGATCGCAGCAATAGAACAGGAATGGATTATCATGTCCCGAGTCGCAAACAGGACAAGATAACAGAGACCAGCTGAAGAAGAATTCCAGGCGCATCACTTACACCAGTTGATAATCCACATTGTAAGCTCTGGACTCGATGAGAAAAAAGGGCTCAGGTAAAAGAACAAAGACGATGAATATCAGATATAAACACTGAGAGGTTCCAGGAGTAAATGGAGTGCTGGCAAGAAGAAAGGCGAAAAGAAGCCAGGTTGCGGAGGGCGTCGAGGATGGGTTGACGTTGACGGTCCGATTCGCTTGCCCGACCGCTTGCTTGTTTGGACTTAACCGAAAAAGCAGACCGAGTGGCAACTGCTATACACTACTCCGTACTTCGATACTATAATTTATGTACAGAGTACTGAGTGTTTTACTGGGAAATTATCATAAGTTAGGGGTATCTGTAATTCATTCAAGCGATGGTGGGTATATCTACAGCCCAGCAAGATCCAGCAAACAAGGGCCCGGTAAAGATCGAGAAATAACAAAAGAGGTGCTCTAAAGACACAAATGAGAAATATAAGCAAATATGTATAGTAGAACGTAAACGATCGCCCTGTAAATGCAAGCAAAATATCCTCTCTGAACAAGAAAGATTGAATCGCAAGAAAAGGTCAGCGATAGGGGATATATGACCAAAGTAACAATAGCAATGCACAATCAAGAAAAGCGAGGGTAATCGTGAAAATTTTTGTTTTGACAAAAATGGTATAAAAAAAAAAAAAAGAAATTCTATGTACAAAAGAAGGACTCAGATTCCTGTTCGGAAAGAGGGGGCTTAAACGGATAGGACGAGCTGGGCGTCTTCTCCAACGCCATAAGCTCTGCACCTCTCAGCAACTTCGAGGCCAAGCTCCTTCATCCGTTCAGCGCCTTTTCCGGGAATCGGTCGCCGCACCATCTGCTCTTTGGCAGCTCTGCGGCAGTGTTGACGCCAAAACTTTTCCTTTCGTTTCTGACGCTTCTTCTCGAGACCCTCGACAATATCGATGGGCCCACGGGTGTGCACTTCACGCGTGCGAGACGTTTCATCCGAAGAGTCATCAATGCCCGTCCACCGGGGACGCCATTCCTCTAAGCTGGCGAAGAAAGGGTTCGGAGTTCGAGGAAGCGACTTGGTCCGCGTCACGGATGGCCGCTGAACCAATTCGCTGATGTTGACACCCTGTGGGTGCATAAGCGGGGCCTCTTCTGAGGGTCTCCGGTCAATGGGAGACGGCAGCTTCAGTTGTTTCATGGTTGGAGGCGGCGGGGAGCGAAGACGCTTAGGCGAGGAGCGACCCTGACGAGGAGGCGGCGGCGAGACCATACGCTTCGGTGGTGGTGAAACCATACGCTTGGAGGGAGAGAGATGAGGTGAGGTTTTCTGGCTCTGCGTGGCGCTGGAACGGCCCCGAGGGGATTCATCCACTACCGACTCTTCCACCTCGTCTTCCTCGTCCTCATCTTCATCTTCAGGATCAGAGGTGGGGAAGCTCGGGTCAATATCCTGGGGGATGACGACTTGCTTGGACAGGCGACGCTGCTCCATGCAGGACTTGTATGCAGCCTCCAAGGGACGATCCTCGTCCAACGTACCACAGACAAAGTCCGTGCTATCGGGGAGGTTCGGGGTACCAGGTCGCATCCTAGGTGTCTTGGAAGATCGTCGACCAGGCTTCCCAGTCAGAGCCGGTGGCCAGTTTCGTTTTTCGTTATCAAAAGGCGAATCGTACGAGGCGTTCGACACCCTACGATCCAAGGGCTGACGAGGGATGTCGATGGTTTGTGGGCTGGTCGCAGCTGTAGTAGTGGTCGTGGCCCAGAACTCATAGTCTGAGCCAGCGTCACTGTCGTCTGAATCCGCAAAACCAGCCTCGTTGTCAGACTCGTTTCCATCGTCCGTATCTGCATCATCGTCGTCTTCGTCTGCAGAATCGTCGTCATCGTCCTCATCCTCATCGTCGTCGTCAAAATCATCCTCGTCTTCCAGGGCCTCTTGCTCCGCCTCTTCACCAAGTTTCCTAATCGCGATTTCCTTCTTCATACAATCACTCAAAGTAATCTTATTGGTATATTCACCAGCCTTGGCAACCCATTCGTCATCTTCCTCAACGGAACTGGCAAACTCGTGGAAACGAGTCGCCTCCGACTCCTCAAACTTGCCCAGACCCCGGGTGGGAACTCCTCTCCGGTCGGTCGGCGTCGACTCCTGAGCGGATTCTGTCTGGGGAATGGTAACCGGCGCCGATGGCTCCTTTTCTGGCTGAGAGGCCCTGCGGGCAATAGGAGCAGGCGAGCATCGGGGCCTTGACCGGAACGCTGTCTTGCGAACTGGCGAGCGCTCACGTGTGGGCTCGGGATTCTTCGAGGGACACACAAAGGTAAGGGTCGTCTTCCGCTTCACTGGCTCGGTGGGCGTAGGCTCGGATTCCTTGTTCTGTGCGATCGGCTTTGGCGGTGTAGAGGACTGCGGCTGTTGCTGTTGAGGCTTCTGCTGCCCCTCAGCCTTGCGACCACATGCAAAGCTAATGCACCTCTTGCGCCCGAGATTAGCCTCAACGGTACATTCACTGGGGTCAGCAGCGGTGTTTTTATTTGTTGTCGTTGAAGATCGTCTGCCGGTCAAGTGCGAAGGAGCGGGAGGACTGGGAGTGTTGGAAAGCGACGGGCTGGTCGTCATGCCACCGTCACTGGTCAATTCGGCTGTCGAGACGCCACTGATATTGCTCTGCGGGTAGGAACGGAATGAGACGCGGTGACCGTAGGAAGGTTGAGGTTCTGTGGGCGAGAGTTCCGGGCTGTTCTTCAAAGCACGGGTGAGGAGCGACTCTGGGACGGGGGGTGACTTGACGTAGACGAGGGTATCGTCATCGTGGGCGTGCATTGGCGAGGAAGGCAGAAAGCGATGATCGGGGGGTTCATCGGCGTCCTCGGCCATATCTGTTGTATCTTGGCTTGCTGGCTTGTTGGACGAGTGTGGTGAGAGAAGCATCTTGACGATCTTGTGTATTGAGGAAAAAGGTCTGTCACCACCGCGGAAGTGTGCCATTCCTTCAGGTTATCGAGTCGACTCGCGTCACGACAATTAAATCGGTCGGAGCATAAGCCGAAAAGGTATTAGGAAAAGAAAGATGAAAAAAATTAGAACAAAGAGGTAATAGACCAAAGAGGAAGTAAGAGAGAAGACTCGAATAAGGTGAAAAGGTTGAAGTATGACGAAGGTGGTGGTGGTGGTGGTGGTGAATGGGAGGCGCGGATGGCGGAAATAGTAGTATCTTTGTACAAATGAAGACAAAAAGATGCTCTCTCAATATCGATCGAGGATTAAGATCCAAAACCGATCGACGCAGATAGCGGAAGAGGAAGTATTATAAAAAGAATGTCCCATAGAGGACGACGATTGTCATGATATACAGCACATGGCGTAGTTGCGCAGGAGGGAGAGGCAAAGTAAGGGCAGGGAAGTGACAAGAAAGTCGAGTATGCCCGCCAAGAGTAGGCGAAGCACGGCTCTTTTTTGGCCTTGTGTAAGAAAAGGCAAAAAGAAAAAAAGAGGAATGGCGACTCAACGAGCGCCAGGAAGAGACGCGTCGAAGGAGTGCCCAAAGAACAGCTTATGGATGTGTTGGCAGAAGTGGATTGTGTAGAGAGGAGGGAGGAGAAGAAGAGGAAAAGGAAAAAGAAAAAGAGAGACAGAAGGCAAAAGGCAAGAAAGCGAGAGGAAGGAATCAGATTTAGTATATGCTCGTTAACCACAAAGGCGGAGGTTTACTGTATGTAATTTTCAAGTCATTTAATAATAATAATAAAAAATTTAAATAAAATAAAAAGAGGTTAGGCGTGTACTCCGTAATTTACGAAAACCTCGTGGTCAAGTCACTTACTGTACAGAGTAGTCAAATATTACTCTGTACCGTCATCGGAATTGCCACACACAAATAGAATTCAAATTACAGTTTTTCTCGTCGTTTTCTGCAGTCCGTCTGTGTGACGCTCGGGCCAGTGACCCATATTGATCTTCTTAATTGGCCAGATGCCATTTCGGTTCCTGCGGCTACATGGGACATTACAGTACAGTACAGCTGAGTAAGTTAAGTTAGTACCCGTGCCCGTAGGGTGCAGGGGAACGGTAACAATGCATGGCAGGGAGAAGACAAAGCAAGAAATAGGAGTACAAGTAAAAAAAAAAAAAATAGAACTGCAAGGCTGGTAGTCCGTAGAGCGAAGTCAAAAGGCAAAGGCAGCGAGATGTTCTGGTGTTGTTGGTGGAAATTCTCCTAGAACATACATGGGCTATCGGAGATGACTATGAGGCATTTTGTTCTAGTACTCCGTAGAGGGACCTGGGACATACAACTACGGACGGGCTGCTCGCTTCACTCAAAGGACCAGTTAAAGACACACACAATAATAACCACCCGTCTGACTGGCGAATGGTCTCCCCCCGTTTCCCCTTAATAAGACTGCATATTACCCCAAAATACGCGGGCCCCGGAGTACTTACGGAGAAAGAAAGTACGGAGCCCACCTCCTCAACCATGGATGGTTGGATTTTCGCTACCGCCAGGATAAAACGGCACAGGGTTTTTACTCTGTCCTTGCACTTGCACTTGGTTGGCACCAATGGCACCACACACAGATTATTTTCAAATAGGCCTTACAAAATAACGTATTACCGGCAGGTCTACTACTACTGAGACGGCCGAAAAGAAAATGCTGGGAAAGGAGGGCGAGAAACTCTATCGCACAGAAAAATTTGAAGAGCCTTGTGAGGGAATATGCTTTAGTGATAGGCCAAGAGCCATGCGCGTAGAGCGCGTGTATCTCAATTGAATTAGACTTTTGCAACTGACCCTCTTCATTTCTACTCCATAGTACAGAGTACATACAGAATTACACTTGATCTGCTTTCATGCTTCCTCTGTATTGGTGTTGAATGCTTGGTTCTTGTCGCTCAACCGCTGCTTCTCTTGGCAGCCTTGGCTGATTTCCCTTGCCTGCAGTTGTGTCCGAATTTGGAATGTTTAGATCTTGGCAGATGAAGATAGCATGCGTGCTGACTGCTTGCAAAAGATACGGCCTACTATGATGTATACAAAGTACCGATGATGCCGGTATATAATTAGAGAGACCAATTGCATCTGTCAAGGATAATGAATCCATAACTAATGGGAATGGACCGCTTTACATACATATCACTTTGCTTATTCCAAGACGCAGCAAAAGCAAAACCAAGACCATGACGGCTATTCAGATCTCAAGCATTCTGGCCCATTGTGTATTATGTTTTCATAAGATGACTATCTCGCTTGGCATCATTCTCAGGAGTGCTGCTTGTAGGAACATGTCTCCGTCCTAAGAAAGGAATGCAAACCCTTACATCCTCTCCTGACACTTCTGCGAGCGAAGTTCTCGACAATGCATCGAAATTTCTTGGACGAATTCCCTTGCTCCTGGCATTCCTAGCTCCTGAGATATAGATCTGATCTGACATTGTGTGGAATGTGCAGTGACCCCATACTCTACTCAGTACGGAGTCGAGTCGAGGTGAATCCGCCATACTACGGAGCACCCTATAGATGGCTTGTGCTTCAATAGATCGAACGCAAAAACGACCAAAACAAGCAGATCGATCTCAGCCATCTAATGCAAATAATACAAACTAACGATTAAGTCATAAAGGCTTTCTTTAGTGAGTGATGGTCAAAATCGATGTTTATTCTCCGGTCGTAATCGTAATACGCAAATTACAGAATACGCAGGAAGGATATATCGCGAAAGTCGTCCAAGAGAGCAACAACAGCGCAGATCTGTCAATCCCAGTCCTCCGAAACAAAACTTGGGCATGAACTGTACGAAGTATGGAGTATGGAGTATGGAGTACATACTCTCGTAGCCACCAGGAACTGCAAGAGCAAAAAGGAATTGGACCCATGATCCAGGATAAACAAAACACCAGACCAGGCTCCCGGCCCCCAAACCATCATCCTTCAACCCGTCCATTCAACTGACGGATGCAACTGACTCGCCGCCCCAAGGCTGACGAAGACACTGCCCGATGATGAATGACAAGCGGTCAAGAGTGCCGATGGCCGAACAGCCATGACCAAGAATAACAATGATAGACACACACAAACACAGACACGCACTGACTTGGATCGCAACGGTTGGCTGGTTTGGCAAGCCAAGCGGGGTCTTGCTTTTTGCCGAACGTCTTCGCTTTTCCTTTTTTCACCTTTTGTTCTATTCCAGTGGGATGGATGGGATGCATTTCGCGACGCGATAAAACATCATCGAAAGGCTTGATTCTATTGAGATATTGAGGCTGGGATAAGCTTCGACTGAGTCAGGGATATCCTGGTAACTGCCAGTGTTGATTTCGATCTGATATTGATATCTCCTCGGGGTCCTTGCTTGTATCTGGCGGTTTCACTACGAACACATGGTAGGAAGACAACGTGCAAATCACCTTCAACGGAGAAGCTCGGACACCGACAATCGCTCTCACCTGATTTCTGATGGCAACGAGGAGACCTCCAGCCATCTGGCACGAGAGCCGTACCCCGTATGCGTACTTCGTACTGTGGCGGGAGATGCAATGCAATAGCAGGGAAATACTACTCTGTAGCTCTTCGTCCGTTCATATGTTCTCCGTACTCCGTATGCAAGAGCTTTCCCCATTCCATGTACAATTCTCCAGGTGAATTGTCAGTGGGGGATCTGTAGCGTACTCCTCTCTGTTTCGTTTCGAGAGGTGCAAGGCCGGTCGGGCTCCCGGTGAGCAAACTCGGGCATCGCGCATGCAACCACCAAAGTATGAGGCATTTAGTTCCCTTCTCTAATACTTTTTAGTAAGTAAGTGGTCACCTGCCATGTCGTTCTCTCCACCGCGACTGGAGAGTTCAGGTGTTTGGGATGCTCCATGAGGCGCCTGATTGGGAAAGTGTGGACTTGACATCTCGGATAGGCATGGACAGTTCACTCGACATGTTTCTGAGTTTCCGAGTTCTGTTCCGGCGAATTGGATCTTGCGTTTTTCGCTTCTGTGTGTGGAAATTTATCCGATTTTTATTCTTTTTTATCCTTTTTTTTTTTTTTTTTTTTTTTTTTTTTTATCTTGCAGTTACAGGGTATTGCTATTTAATACCCAATTACTTGTACAGTCATCAGTTACCATTAATACCAGTCAGTAATATATTTTCAATATCCCCTTACCTCACACAAATCACCCACACAAGTATACAAAGTACAAACCTCAGCTCAGAACACACCACACACCACAAACCGCCAAGACGTCAACACAACAACTTAATCCCACACTCCCTCCCACAATACCCCATCCTCGTACATCATGATCTCCTGATCGACGAATAGCCCCGGACCAGAGTAAGCAAGCCCGGCAAGATAGGTTCCCGCTGGGAAATGCTACCTACATTCCCACGGGGAAGAGAAAGGGGGAACACAGCGGACGCAAGGGAAAAAAAAAAAAAAAAGGAAAGGAAACAGCACAGCCCAGCCCAGCCCGAGCCAAGAGGGGAAAAAAAAGGAAACCTGAACTTCCGCCAAGGAGCCAAGAATTGAGCCAAGAAGTAGAGCTTGGCGGGTGTGTACGGAACTATGCGGTGCTAGTGGGTGTGCTATGGAATGTTTATGTTATGTTATGCTGCCAAGATCGATCTAGTAGTATGGCTGTGGTAGGCATCATTATTATTGTACGCGTTGAGTCTGTGTTTGCGTTCGTACTAGTTATCTATGGCTATGCTATGTCATGCTATGTCGCTAGTTATTCCTGGTAACCTAGCGCCAAGGCTCACTCCCTCCGGATTTCCTGGATCTGGATCCTAGAATAAATATTGATAACACTGTCCAGCACAAGTATGGAAGAAATGCACCGTCGATCCGCTGACCTTATTATTCAGAGGAAAGGTCTTGGCGAAGAGGCGATTTGTTCTTCAGCGGATTCGATAGACCTTCGTTCTTGGCGGGTGAACTGTGGTTATGCTCATGTCAGACTCGATGGAACCGTGGTACACGGTAGTAGTATCTCAAAGGTGAGGTCATATATACTTTTTATCCTTGTATAGTTGTGCGAGTAGGTTCGAGCCGTCCGTAAGTTGGATTTATTCGGGTTCGTGTTGTGTAAGATTGGATGGATGATGGTACTATGGTATGCCACTTTGGATTTATTCGTGCTGGTGGTGTATTGCTGAAAAGAAAATACAGATAGAGTATTGAATGTAACTGACCCCCACGTCAGATGAACATGAGGTCATGATAAGAGAGCTATTATTCATATTTCATCATCGATCACACACGCCTCCATCGGTTATCTTCGTAGATGCATGTAGCGCCTAAAAGAGTAATTCCAAGAGGATCGTGGGGTGCGAACTGTGTTTCAGATGGTCAATTGCATAGAGGACTATGTTCAACTGATGCTAGTATGAATGCGAAAATTAATTCAAATAACGCCGTAACAATATGCAATACACTCCACGCCGAACACCTAAAAGAATAGAATAATTATACAAACGCCATATTCAAAATGAACCTGGGTTGCGTCTCGTATTAGCGCCCGGACCGGCCGGCGACGCTGTTGCTTCATTTGCCGCCATTCCCTGACAATGATGCCCTTGGCCCAAAATATCGGCTCCTCCGATTGTGCGACAGCGGTGCACTGGCTGGCAACGTCGCTAGGTATCGCGACGGGCAAGAATCCGCCGCCAAGCTTACTGTATAACAGTCGCCGCCCGGGCTCGTTTGGAAGCGGACAGAAGTCGAGAGCACAGGAATGCGACTGCACCGAGGATGAAGTCACTGTTGACAATATGCGATGTTGCGGTGGAGGTTGGTGTTACCAGAGTCGCTGCGATCGTTAGCTATGTCTGCTTTAGTACTACGGAGAACAGATCGCGGGCTTACCGAACTGTGAGCTGCACCCCAGAGCCTGAAGACGAGAGGCCATTGTATCACCTTCGCTGCACTCAACGTCTTGGCCGAGTATATAACCCTGATACTCGTCGAGAATGCTCTCGTAGATCCGGCCATCCGCAAAGCTTGTACTGAAGTTATCCATGTGAATGCCTTTGAGCTGCGCCAAGAGAGACACCCATTGCTTCAGCAACAGCTCATATTCATCACTTGGTTCGTCCAATTCAGTATCCATAGCCTGTTCGTACCCGAATTGTGACATGGCTTTCCGCTTGAGTCGCCCAATCTCTTGTCGAACATCTTCCCAGTCCACCAATCCAGGAAGTCCCCATTTGCTGACCAGCCTCCACAGAAGCGCAATGGTCTTCTCCCGATGACCGTCGACGATGTCCTCTGCAGCTACATCATGTATTAGCACATTGGTCCCGTTGTTGGATGCCAATGCGCTGAGCGCAACCTGCACATTGTACAGCTTAACTGCTCGGCTCGTACACGGAAGCTTCAGGTGTGGCAAAAGTGACCTTTGCTCCTCATTCAAATGCGAAAAAGCCCCTCCGTCTGGCAGCGTCACAGTGGTGGTTGGTTCTCCATCAAGGTCGCCATAACAGTTGAGTAACAGCTCGGCAATTCGGGTTAACCTCACGCCGTCTCTCACGTCCACAGCGAGGTTTTTGATGTGGTAATCATATTCTTCGATTTGCTGCTGCTCGTACGACACTTGGCAGTCTAGGTGCCCGAGCGATTTAATAACGTCGCCTGATGTCGGTAACAACAAACGCGCCAGGGCCTGAAGCACAGCGGCGGAAGACTTCAATAGCGATGACGTTACAAACAGACGGCGAGGAAGGGTCGTGCCGGAGCGCACCCTAGTCTTGTCCAGCAGGACAACGATCATGATGCTGCGAAGGGCCGTGCGGCGATATGCCGCGTCCGCTTCTTTACCCGGCGTCTCCGCTCGCTGCACCATGTCCTCATTGCGCAGCAGGAAGGCTTCCAGAAAGGTTTCTATTCGCCTCTTCAAGATCTTTTCTTTGCTTGTCGTCGTGTATGCACGTCCGTCATCGTCATCGCTGGCAATTCTCCGACCAATAACAGTCTCCAGCGCAGCCTGCAAAGCCCGCAAATCATAGGTCTTCGTCCAAATATCCAGAAATCTCCGCTTCAAACCGAGGTCCTGTCTCAACCGCGACTCTCGTGCGAGAACGTTCTTTGGAATGCTCATGGCACCGTTCATTAACGACATCTGCATCCGTTTGTAGAGCAGTGTGAAGGTGTCATCTTGGTAGCGATCGAGAAGTTCGTGTCGGAGAGTAGCAGGGTCATCGGAACTTGTGTGGCCATCCGTTTGTTCGAACACTTCGTTAAGCGATTGGGTTATTACTTCCTCTTGATGCGCGAGCCAGTTATCTTCGTACAATGCTGGGTTAGAGATGTTTTCTGTAAGTAGCGGGAACTGCTCGTTTAGTTTCTTCGCTTTGATACTTGATACAGCAAGTTTGGGAGGCATCGTGTTCTTGGAACGATTGAGAGGGTTCGACGTGGTTGACTTCAACGCACTAGACCGGGTGCGCTCCTGGCCCGCCAGTTTTTGTTTGACAAGGTTCTTTTTCTGACTCTTGTTGACTGGTGCTGGGCTCATGTTGCTCTTGTCACCCAGTGCCGCCCTCATTTGAGGCCTGGGCCGAGTCGCTGTGCGTAGGCCATCTGTTCGGCTCCCTCCAGATTTTGAGACGTTGCCAGCTGGCTTGGACTTTGGCGGCTCAAATACAGGCATACCACACTTAGAGCTCTTGTCCTTGCCGTCAACGAGAACGGATCCAGGTGGGGTGTTCTCTTTTCCACCATTCTTCCCGGCAATATCAACTCGAATAGCCCCTTCTTGGGCAATCTTGGTGCTTGGCTGCAACGGTGTTTTCCGTGCGAAGCCTGCGATCGTTTTCTTCTCATGTCGTTTTCTCGCGATGCGCGCCTCTAAACTGTCGATCTCGGGGTCTTTGGGAATTTGGCAGTTGATGGTATTCGTCGTCTGCGATTTTAGCGGGCTAAATAGACCCATGAACACACTCGCGACTGTCGTATCCTCTGTGGGTATGTAGACGGTTTCACGGCGGACATCCTTTTTCAAGGCAGCGTTTTGCTCAATGCCTCGCTCCTTCCCGTTGATCTGCATGAGCAACTTCTTGTTCTTCATCGCGTCCGTCTCTGCGCTCTTGTTTTGAGAATCAGACTGCCCCAGGTGTCGCGGGTTCGTAGACGATGGAGTCATGGCGAAGCTGACTTTCGGTCGAAACCTCTGCGCGGGCTGGGTAAGCAAGGAGGATTTGCGATTAGAGGCTCCCAACGTTGTTCTTGGCCTGTTCATCGATAACGCCGGTCTCTCGCCGTTATCCTCATGGATTTGGAAAGAAGAGACTGCCCCGGTTCTCCGTTTAGGTTTCGCTTTTGTAAGAACAGGTGCTTTGATTTCGGTTGTGAAGTCGAGGTTAGCGGTATTGTCGGAAGCATCCAGCCCATCTTGCCATAACCTGTCAAAAGTGTCGTGTCTATTGCTCGATCTAGATGGACAAGGCGTCCCAGCCTCCCCCAAGATACCAGACATCGTGAGCGGTGGCAGTTAGTCTTCCTCTAGTCCGTGTAGACCGCTCTTTCCTCTGAAAGGTGTGCCGTATACAGTTAGGAGGATGATAGGCACAATCGAGGACAACTGAGTCAAGCTAACTCGGGTAGTGAGTTACTCATAAATAAAGCTGTTTAGGTACTCTTTTGATCTAAGGAACGAGGTCGATCACGATTCACGTTCGTCTTCCAAGAACGCGATGTTGACGGACAATGGTTGCCGGTGCAACTGCTGGTGGGGTCTGAGGCACCAAGGCATCGATTATACAGTCACATGACTGCGATGCGACATCCTCCAGGATTTAGGGAATATCGTACTGTTTCTGTCTTATTTCATTAGACATTGCCTAACTAATTCACGGTACTTAGACAGTAGAATAGCACTGGATAGATGAATCAGGTCTTTGGATTGCTCGCTTGTTCTCTACGGATATAATAAGCCTTGGATGCTCAGGATATATATGCCACCAAATATTCTATACGTTCTAGCAAAACTACAATGGTCCCAGTCGGGAACCAGCGCCGGGACTCCTCAGACCTTCAATCGGAATTATCCTTTCCTTGCCAAACTTATCACACTGTTCTTAAACCGAATGCTAACATTCCAACTAGTTTCTGCATCTCAACCGACAAACAGGTCTGACCCGCGAACACATACTGAGAAAAGAGTCTCTTGATATTTGCTATGTGTCTTCGTTTATACCCTAAAAGACCAGGTCAGCATACGATTAAAAAGAGGAAGAAGGATACCCATACCTAGGTCTCGTCCGTCTGACCAGCCGCTCCGCTCTCTCACGGCGCTGTTCCAACATATCGTTCAAGATCTCCATCTCGAGTAAAAGGCGTGGTTGTTCATCCCAGCTCAACGAGGGATCATTCTCGTAACTCGTCTGTTTCTTCTTTGATCGACCTGGGCTCAACGACGCATAATCAAAACCCAGAAGCTCTGCAATAGTTGCGATAATAAAAGTGGCGAAGAGAACTGCCACTATGGCTATGAGGCCGGCTTCAAAAAAGGCTTCGAGGACAAGGCGAGCCATTTTAGAGAAATAATTGTAGTATGAATCGTTGTAGTCGAGGGCTAGGGGGGGCATTTGTATGGATCAAAGGTCGACTGGCACGGTGCCGGGTGTTTGTTTGAAAGAGTCATTGAAGCCGAGCGTCCCTTTATACAGGGTTGTAACCATTATAGCCATGCCTTGTTTGCCATGGCATTCAAAGAAGCTGCTGAGCGCTTATACGTTGTCAGATATCTAGTACTGGCTGGCCGTGCTCTCATTGTGCCAGGGTAGATTTATATCAGGAGGTTCTATATGGACAAGCAATGTGGCCGTAGGTTTCAGCTATTTCAAGTATGGCTATACGGAGCACACGTAGGTACAGCCGGCTTCCATATAGTGAGTTGTAGTATAGGATTCCAATGATAGATAACACGATGCTGGCAGCCGTATAGAACAGGGATATTAGCTTTCCCACCGCGGTTACAAATTTTCAGTGATGAGCGATGTTTGAAGCATTAATGTGGCGCCAAAATTGGCAAGATGCTGAATGGCAGTGCCTCTCTGCAAGTTTTGTTGTCCATGGCAGTGTATGAGGTGAGGCTCCTCGGAACGCCATCGTTTCCCCTAATCGTATTAGGCTCAGCAGACGTGCTGTAGATAATCAGCATACCAGGGTTGACGGGTGGGATGCACCGGAGTGTTAAAAAAAAAAAAAAAAAACCACGGATATGGGGTTATTCAAAATCTGACGGCATTATGGTTAAGCAGTGTACTAGAATCTGTTTACTTGATCTGGTTCCTGGCCGGTCACAATATTCAGATCTTTCTAGTTGGGATAACCTCCGTGGAAACATCCTCGGGATCCAGGTACCATGCGGGGAAGGGGATTCGTTGACGGTTAATCCAACGGATAACGGCCCATGTGAAATGAAATTCTTGTTCAATATGCTTCAGAGTGGGCATAAATAAAACGATCTCCTCGGTATGGAGTGTGCATTCGGTGATAACTCCGGGTTCCGTAGAGCATTAAAAAGAATGAAATGCCCATGATCGGATCAGACCATTATCCAGCTTGATAATCCAAAATGTTCAATCCATAAAATATGACATATTTCATACACCCTCGTTTTAATTGCATACACACACTTTTGCATATGCCGAATCAATAATCACAGCACACGCTTTCCTTTTTCGTGGTTGCCACAAATAGTGTGGCTCAGCCTCATTATTCTGTCTCTCTTTAATACCCCCTTCCCCGGAAACGACGATTACTACTACTACGGAGTCCATACGAGTACGACTATTATTACTTATCTGTAGTTATTACATGGCCAGACCTTCAACGTGGCCCTCTTCTCATCATTTCGTTCTGAGTCCATCTTGCTAGGTGTGTATACACAAGACACTGCCAGGGACTGAAACTCCTTATATTACCTTATTTTATTCGTTGATATTTATCTGTCTGCCTGCCTGCACATCCTGCTAAATCGCGTCATCTCTTCTTCTTCCAGTGTTCGTTGCGGCAGCCCCCTTCCTCGCTACTAAACCGCCTCTCCGAATCTACCTCCACGCCCTTCTCCTGAAACTGATACGCCGTCGGGCCAGTGCGGGATGGACCATCAGTAACCAACTTGAATTTCTAAAACGTCCGATTCGTTCTTTAATTCCACCTTCGTTTCGCCATTACGGCTCGCAAGCTCTTGACAGCTGCTCTACGTTTTATCGTGCTTATCGCTGGGTCAAAACGGAATGCACAAACGTCATGGAATCTCTTGTGTATGAGAACTCGCCCTTGGCAGACTACCTCCAAGGTGAGTTGCTTCTTGACTGCAATAGGTTCTTTGGGGTATTAGAGGCTGATATTGAGATGGTAATATAGGAGAGGGTGAAAGCGACAATAATTGGCCCGTTGAGTTTACAGAGAATGAGGATAGCGATACTGCAGATGCGACAATGGACTTTGCCCCTCGAGGGGCCTCGAAATTTCAACAGAAAATTCGCGATAAGCTTCCGAACCAGCTAGATTCAAAAGTCTCGCAACGAAGTGAAGCATTGGGGAGGTTCTATGATGCCTGCGCGGTATGGCTTGCTTTTGCTATTCATCTTCAACTAGGATATGCGAACTGACCGATTTTATCTCTTCCTTATAGTCCGCTTTGAATGCTCGCATCGGACAAAGCGACAACGCAAGGTTCCTTGAACAGTTCGGTTATGTGATCGTCGCATCGCAGTTGTTGAACGAACATAGCGCCCCGTCATACACCTCCGCCGCAGATGTGCTGTCGCATGCACAACCCGCAGAACTCCCATCGCTTTCCACAACATTCGGTCTACAAGGTGCCATTGTCACCGGGGCGACATCCTTTTCGGTTGCATGGTTATTACATTGGAGTCGGCCTCGATCAGGCACTGGCATAAACCCCCGGAAAGTGGGCATTCTTATGGTCTTGGTGCCGGTTCTCGGGGTTCTGTTCTACGCTTTTGCGAAACGTCAATGGCTCAAATATCTGCGCCACCAAGCGGTTGATGCGGCTGCGAACTTCATCAGCAACGCGCAGGGGTTCGATTCGGCTGCCTCGGCATCAGTTGTTTTTATACAAGAGGTCGAACTTGTCTCCAGGGGTTATCGCATAAGTACGCCCTTACCTCCGGTGAGCAGACTCGAGGATCAGGCACAAATCCGACGATGCCTTCGACTCCGTCGAACGGTCTCTGAGTGTTTGTACTCAATGTTGGAACGATATATCCGATCGCTACATATTTTACAGCCGCTCACGGACGATGTCAATCTTGCTAGATACTACGACATCTACGATATCTCGCTGGAGGAACTTGCTGAAGCCGAATCCACCTTAGCTGAACGCTCGACAGATGATCAATATTCGCTGCGCGCCCTTCGAACTCTCTTCGGAAGACTCTATGGTATCAGGAAAAGTGTCTTGTGCTGCCTGCTGGCTCTCAGTGCCGATGGTGGCGGTCCTGACATTGAAAGATGGAGCACGGCTGTGGAGCAGATGCGGGATTTGGCTGATGTGACATCAACGAACATCCGCAGGATGACCAATATCCTCAGTGAGGAAGACCGTGAGGTTATCCCTCCTTCGCCTCTACCCACAGCCTCCCCCAACAGGGACGCCCTTAAAGCGCAATATCGAAGACTTAACACTCTTTCACAAGGAATTCGGGCTCTGCATGCTAAAATGCATGTCATTCGTGAAGAGTCCCATTCCAATCTTGACGAAGTAGATACCAGTGAACTGGAGGCTACACTTGTCGCGCAGTACGACTCGATCGGGACAGACATACGGGGCCTTCTGCAAGAATGGGAAGCCGGGAAGTCTGCACTCGTCAACAGCTTCGATAGACAATCTCTCGCAGACCGCTACTCACGACCATCAAGTACGTTGACGCCGTTGTCGCCGACGCCTAGTCTTAGCGGTGTTACTGCAGTCGAAGGAAGCCCGTCGGACGCGCTCAAGGCATTGACAGGCGAAGGTTCTCACCTGGATATAAGCGTCACAGATGCTCCTGAGGAAGAGGAAATCTTCGAAGCCGTGGCACTTCCATCCCGCAGCAATAAACGGTCCTCTATTAGCAGGGAAGAACGTATTGCACGTGTCAAGGAAGATCGAGCAAAACAAGCGGCTGCACAAGATCGGTCTACTGCTAACACGAGTATGCTGAGGGAGCTTGAAATGGTCATCAAGCAGAAACCCTATACGGCAGCCTCGAAGCGAGTCACAAGTATCTGATTCCGATGTTTTACTCACCTACGTTCTTACCATTCACTCCCTATATATATTTCCTTAGGTTTCTGTGCTATATGAAGCCATTGACCAAAATTTGCTGATTGATACCCGCATGTATAGAACGGACTGGCGTCGCTGGCGTTTAGCTGGTTTTCATTTACATTCTCACTCCACTTCTACCTGTGTCTATATTGCTTGATCCTACTTCTTCTTCTTTCTTTCTTCTTGTCAAGTCGCATTCTTGTACATTCTAGGGGCCTCGTTATGGATTGCATTGCTTTTGCCTTGTTTCAGTCGTTTGCTTTCTTTTTCCCTCTGCACTCATTGAGCGAAGACCTGTCTACTTTCCTTGTGTATATCGTGTAAAATAGCTGGGTATCTTGTATTCATAGATCATTACGGATGCTAGTGAATCAAAGTCATATTGTCAAACTGTTCTATTAAGAAGGTTTCAAGTAAGGCCCTGCAAAGGGACAGTGAATGCCCAAGGCATAAAACTACCCCAAGCGGTCATATCAGCCTCAGGCGCAACGCGACTGGACGCGTTTCAGTCCCCACCAAACCCTCGAACGCGAATTCACCTCGTTTCCTTTCTTCAATCTTTACACTTTTATAACCACAACTTCCTCTACTGTGCGTTATCCTCCCCAGACCTATAATTCATCAAAAGAACTCAATTAATAACTGTACAGCACCTTCATTCCAGCATTCATCTGACGTCAATTAATTCCCACATTCTCGCTACACCCCTCTTTGTGATTTACCAGAACTCATATTCAAGAGTGAGTGTTCTCGTTGCTTGTGGGTGTAAACGAGATTCTAACTGTTGTACAGTGTTAGAAGCACGCCTCGAACAAGCCAGTCTCCTCAAGCGCGTACGTTTACTCCAGCGTCCACTCTGGAATTGCCAAAAAAACCAATAATACTTACAATTGAACAGGTCGCCGACGCCATCAAAGACCTCGTCCAGGACTGCAACTTCGACTGCAATGACTCCGGAATCGCCCTCCAGGCCATGGACAACTCCCACGTTGCTCTGGTCTCCATGCTGCTCCGCGCCGAGGGCTTCTCCCCCTACCGGTGCGACCGCAACATCGCGCTGGGAATCAACCTGGTCTCGCTGACCAAGGTTCTGCGGGCCGCCCAGAACGAAGATATCCTGACGCTCAAGGCTGAGGACACCCCCGACGCGGTTAATCTCATGTTCGAGAGCCCGGAGACCGACCGGATAAGCGAGTATGATATCAAGTTGATGGATATTGACCAGGAGCACCTGGCTATTCCCGAGACAGAGTATGCGGCTACGGTTGAGATGCCGTCGGCGGAGTTCCAGCGGATCTGTAGGGATTTGAACCAGCTTTCTGAGTCGGGTATGTTCCTTTTCCTTTGCTTCCTTCTATTCACCCTGTGTGCTAACTGTGCTATAGTTGTCATCGAGGCTACCAAGGAAGGCGTCAAGTTCTCCTGCCAAGGTGACATTGGCAGCGGCTCCGTAACCGTCCGTCAGCACACCAACGTCGAAAAGCCCGATCAGAACGTCTCGATTGCGCTCTCCGAACCCGTCGCTCTTACTTTCTCCCTCAAATACCTCGTCAACTTCTGCAAGGCTACAAATCTGTCTAGCTCGGTGTCCCTGTGTCTGTCCCAGGAGGTTCCTCTGCTTGTCGAGTATGGTTTGGGAAGCGGCCACTTGAGATTCTACCTTGCTCCTAAGGTGAGTTCTCCCCCCGAGATCTTGGGTGTTGAACAAAAATAGCTAACTTTTAAATAGATTGGTGATGAGGAGTAAGGCGATCACGATAAAAACAACGAAAATGCTCAATAATAATGATGGGGGTGTGCGACGATTATTTCTGATATTTTCTCATGTCCACTGGACAAGGGTTTTCATAGTTTTTTATTCGAGCGGTTTATTTAGTGATTTCAATATACCAAGCACGACTGGGTTTAGTGGTATTACGAGATCCTCCGTACTACGTAGGCGGAGAAAAGCATAGTAAGAAATGCTAGGCACCAAAAGTTGCATTGTGAATCATAGCTATCCCGACAACTGCCCAGCTCCCATCGACCAGTATATCCCACAACCACAAAACCACATATCAGCCGCGACAAATCGACCGAACCGCCCTAAGAGAAACCCCCAACAGGCCCTCAAGAACCCTGCCAATTAGCCAAGGTCCACCAAGTCCTTTCCAGAGCTCCCCCCCAACATGTTCAAGGGGAGGGAAGTATCACTAACCTGAGAAAAAAGAGGTGAAGCGCCATCCCCACCAGAATAATCGGAATCGAATGATACCATTTCCCTTCCGAAGGAGGGGAAACAGTATGCTGCGTATTGCACTAAAGTGTCGCACGGCAGAACCGCACACACAATCTTCGCAACGACTCTCCCATGGGGTGTTTTAAGCCCCGATGTTTCTGATGCCGATTGCAGGTGTGGTAGTGAATTCACACCAGGCCCTCACGGGCAGTACCGGCTTTCTCCCTGAGGGGTCAAGCGGATTACTGGGTTTGGGTCGAAGATTCCTCCGAATTTCTCATTTGCAAGGTACTCGGGAGGGGAGAGCTGTGCATAACCCAGATCTCGACCTCCCAAGGACAAGACGGTGTCTTGTCGTGTGTAGCAAAGAAACGCAGCATTGATGGGGATGGCGCTTGAAGAGGAAAAGAGAAGAAGAAGCCGAGGGGAAGAGAAATTTTGTTTTTGTGTCATGGTGCGGCTGTGGATTCACCGCCTTCCTGTTTCTGTTTCTGGAAGACTGCTGTTTTGGGTTAGTTTTGGTTTGGACGGTCGGCAGCTCGGTGCCTGACTGACTACTCCTTTCCGATGAAGGATCAAGAGTTGTGTTCACGACTCGTACTCGTATGATACGCAGAATATGTACTACATCGAGTCGTAGAGATCGATAGAGTTCTATTTGGTAGATCATAGTCGCTGAACAGTCGGGATATGGAGGGTATATCAGGGCAATAGTACGGAGAGTCCTGACTCGATTCCTTCCATGCAAGGTGTCGGGCCGTAAATAGCACACGGTTTATTAGGGCCCCTTAGTGCAAGTGTCAGGAAAACGAAGCCCCCGCAGAGAATACATCCGAATAGGGCTCTTGGATGAACATTAATACCGAGTCATCATTTTGGCACGGAATGGCAACAGCAGTAATAATATAGGGATTTTTATTTGTTTATCCGTGCCGCTGTGCCGTTAATCTCTTGTCGCAGTGTTATTCCGCATGGTATAGACAGACCCTCCTGAAGGGTTCACTACAAGTCCAGACCTCTGAATACTCCAGTGTACACGCAAATCTCCATGTTGAGAAGCTAATGGCCATATCCAAACTCTCTGGGAGTTCTGGCCCGGACAGTGAGTCTGGATGAATGCCCATCAATTTCCCGTCGCGGCGTGCCAGGGCCACTCAGGAGAAACGATATTTGATTACGGGTTTCTTGGCTCTGTTGCGAGTCAACCGTGGATGCGACAGGCACAAAACAAGAGTTATGCCAGTCCCCTCTCAGGGAACTTGACGGTTTTTTGGTTCCAGCGGGGTGGAATTCCAGTCGAGAACTCGGTAGTTATCGTTTCTCACTTCATAATTCAATCCCATTCGTGGGAAGCTCAACCCTTCTTGTACTGTGTAGAGTAAGACGATATAGCCTGAACCGGCTGGACAATTGCCAATCCCGCGCGGTGGTCAACTCCTCTCTGGCCAATTTCTCCGTCTCGTCAACCGCTCGCTCATTTTTTTTTTTTTTTTTTTTTTCTTCTGCCTTACGATTTCTCTCTTCTCTCTCTTTTCCGTTTTCTTGTACTTTTCACACATTCTTTCTATCATATTGTCAGTCCTTCGTTTTTCCTACTTACTGCCTCGTTCGAATCGCTCGTTTCGTACTCGATCGTCCACGCAACCTACGTTGTTCCTATTTCCGGACTCCCTCGCTCCCTGTTCTGTCTGCATGTGCGTCCTCAGCCTTACTCTGTACACCAAGCCTCCGTCCAAACCATCACCAACGAACCGGAGCGTTTGATCGTTGGCTCAGCGCCTTTCGCACCGAGTCCTGAAATTGCCAAACGACCACACCGTTTCACGCGCTCTTGGCATTTCCGTCCTGATCGGCAACTAAGAAAACCGACCAGAGAGGCTGAATTTCGGGCAATAAAAACAGAATAAAAAGAAGCAGGGAAGGGGAGATAAGCAAAGGGTCCCGGGTCTGAGAGGCAAAAGTGATCCCTTCTCTCCGCATTCTCTGGGGTCTCCCACATTCCCAAGGGAAAAGAGAGCTTGTTCTGTGGATAGGGACAGACAAGCGTGGACCTGTCATTGTCTCAGATACCTTTGCAGCAGCGAACAATCGCGATAATCTGACCTCCTGAAGGCGCTCTTCGTCCAGTCAGGTCTTCAATAACCGGTGATTCAACGGTAGTCCCCTGTTAGTTGGCTCTTCCGGCGGTCCCGTCTGTCACACGACAAGACCCTTCGTTTCTTTCATTCACTCCCTTTTTTCGAACCTACGGAATTTTCCGTTACACACACCGCCGCCCGGTGGTGAAACCGCCATATTGTATTCCAAGGAAGATCCTCTGGCGGACACAGGCTCCATCTTGGAGCCCCTCGCCAAGATTTATTCTCACAACTCGCGGGCTTCTCTCCTCGGAGGGTCTTTTGATCCTTCGTTTCGGCGAGATACTGCTGGCGGGTTTCGACCGAGAGAAGGCTATGTCAACGTCCCGCCCCGTGAACGCACTCGCAAGATGTACATTCCAAATTCGCTCTGGACGTGGTCCTTTGCCATCGTCACGCTTGTTCAGACTATCATCACCTTGGCTCTCGAGTGGTACGTCCTTCCCTTCGATTTTTATTTTTATTTTTTATTTTTTAATTTTTAATTTTTTTTTAATTGTGGATCATCACTAACTGGTATCGCTCTGGTAGTTATGTGTTCGCCAACTTTCAGCTCCAACTCAAACCAGAAGCCGACGGTGTCACCGCATCAAAGGCTATTCCGACGTTCTTGGCCCTGTACTGCTTCGGGTTCATCTACGAGCTGGTTCTCGTGTACGATGCGCTGCGCATGAAGAATACCATTCAAATCATCGGGTTATGCGTTTGCAATATTGGTCTCTTGATCTACGGCGCCGTCCAAGTCCAGCAGATTAAAGAAGCGGTTAACAACGTCCTCGTCGTCAACCAAGTCATCAGTCCACTGGTATGGCCGGAAACAGAACCGTTCCTCATCATTATCCCATGTGTCGTAGCCATGGGGACTGCTTTGATGCTCATCGTTGCGTGGAAACTGTACGATGAATTCGCGTGGTCCATCTACAAGCATATCAGTGCCGACCTGCGGATGAAGCGTCGGTATCTCACATATCAGGTTCGTTAATAAACTTTTAGCTGGAGGAAATATCGCACTGACCCTATCTTAGATCTACATCGCGTTGCTCAAATTCGACTTTTTCTTCTTCCTCGGTTTTACGGTCCAATTCATGGTCATCGTGACGGGTAGACAGGATTCCGAGTTTGCCCTCACATTGGCAGCTATTCCCGTGACAATCTTGATTCTGGTGTGTGCGGCGGTCTTTGTTCGACGAGAGAGTACTGTGGGAATGATTGTCACCATTGTAAGTGCCCATGGAATATCCTCACCCCGATCACAATCATCCTGACTGACGTTTTAGCTCCTCTACTTCGCTGCCATGGCATATTTCCTATTCAAGCTCGTCCGAATGTACCAGCCCTCCTTCTTCAAGGAATACCTCCCCGCTCGGCGATCTCTCACGTTCTTCGCCATCATCACCCTCGTTTTGATTGTGTTGACCATCATCAACGCTTGCTTGTGCACGGCCAACTTCAACAAAGGCTTGAAGCCTCACATCAACCGAAAGAAGACTCGCGAAGAAGAGAAAACGACCGAGCTGTCCACCAATGTCGCCGGTCAAATGCCTACGCGAATGATGATTGATTAAGCGAATTCTTTGAGCAGCAAACAGATACCCCCTTGTTCTACATTTCGGAATGGATTCTGGGACCACCTTTTTCCACTATATGATACCTTTTTTCAAGCGTTGTTCTTGCCCATTTCTTGTTGATTTTTGCCTTTTAATTTCCCGGTTCATTTTTTCTATATTATTCTTTTCCAAACTTTCCTCCCTCTACAAAGAACTGGCAGTCTTTGGAGACACGACCTCACACCCTCTATCTTTTTTCCTTTCTTGTCCTTCCCTTAAACCCGACTGGTTACGCTTAGAGTCACGACTGTGCATATATTTTCGTCATGTATACAAACTTATTTTACTGGTTAGCAAATAGACAAATGATACGAACGAGCTGGGTAGACATAATAGACATCTAGGCGTACTCGAACCATTGGGGGCGTTCTGCCGTGGCAACAGAATCGCAACCAGGTGTAGGACGCACATACTCAGAAGACTTGAAGGACACAAATAAATCTTCTCTTTGGAAAGACGTTCAGTTTTTATACGTTAATCCGATCTGGATCTTGAGATTTATACGGCAGTATTATTGTGGTATTTAATACAAAATTATAGGTCTATTATTGGCTTTTCTAAGCTCGGGGTAGCCATCCGTGACAATACGTGACCATACGGAAACCGTGAGCGTGGCCTCTTTCTGGCAACTTTCAACTTCATTTCCCCGATCAATTCGACCTTCTTTCTATCTTCAACCTCCTCTCTCTTCCTTCCTCCCTCTTACCGGCCATTTCCTTTTCAATTCTTCCACTATAATAATCGCCATCTTCATTTCACACTCTTTTCAACCTTCTTTACTCCTTCTTTCGACATAATGGTGAGTGCGACCAGATCATCCCAGGGAGGTGAGATCGACCTTAGTCGTCTCTCCTTCCAGCTTCTACACTTCCGTGTTTAAATACTCAGAAATATGATAATCATCTAACCAATTCAACCAGTCCTCTCCCCGTCCCGCCTCTCCCCTGACCTCCGGCGCCGAATCCGGCCCTGACACCAAGTCCGCTGGCTCTGGCCCCGGTGCCTCTGGATCCGCCTCGGCCATCAACCGTCCTGCCTCGCCCACTCCCCCCGGTGGTCCTCGCGCTGCTCTGCGTCGCCGCGCGGCTGCAGACCACAAGGAGTCGCTGCGCAATGTCAGACCCAGCTCGACTCGCGCCGCGGGTGCCGGTGGCTCTTCGGGCACGATGCTCAAGCTTTACACGGACGAGAGCCCTGGGTTGAGGGTTGACCCCGTTGTCGTGTTGGTTCTTAGTCTTGGGTTTATCTTCTCGGTTGTGGGATTGCATGGTAAGATTTTATTCCGTGGAGTGGCTAGGGTTGCATTTTTTTTTTTTTTTTTGAAAATTCGGGCTAATTGACCACGTTGCAATAGTTATTGCCAAGATCACTCGCAAGCTCTCGTGAGCGGGTTATCATAATCGACTCGATTCGGCTCGTCTGAGGTTATCGTTCGCCTTGCAGTTTGCCTAGCGATTCCGGGAATTGTTGGTAGCAGATGGCTGGGTTTTGACCTGACCTGGCCCGACCCAGTCATTGCGAGGTCTCAGACGAACGATCATCCACCGACAAAACATCCTCTACTTCCTCCACCATTGAATTTCCTATACCCCTTTTTTCGTCTCTTCGCCGTTATTTTATATCGGAAAACTTCGAACGCGGTCACCAATTCGCAATCGATTCATTTTGACTTTTCGCGAAACACGAGCGTTCCTTATCCATCTGCAGCATGGGTCTGGAGTGTTTTTTTTATGTCGGTTATAGCAATCAATTGCTTTGTTATGTTACCAATATGGGGAGTTGGGATGGAGAGTGCATTGTATAATAGTCTGTGTTTCTCCAATGGAATGACGTTATAGTATCCAAAATTTCTGTCCTGGGCAAGATATGGAGTATGCTCATAAACGTCAACCTAGCATTGCGACTACTTATACGAAACCATACTATGTATATATATCTCTTCACGTGCACGGCTCGGGGTTTCCCCAATTTAATTGAACATTTCCCATCTGAGTATCATCAGCAACACGGCAATATATGCCCTACCGATTATCAGTACTAAGTAAAGTGAAGAATCCATCGGAGATATCGGAGACAGCTTACTCTTCTATATAACTTGTCGCCTTAGCCCCGGAATAAGCTCACGTAGTATTCCCCACCAACAAAGCAATGGCGGCAAAACGATCCCGGAGAAAGCCCACAAAACACTTACATACAAGCCTGAGCTAATCCCCCCCCGATAGAAATCCATAATCTCCTCGCCCCGGTCCGTCAACCGCTTATCTCGACAACCCGCCGCCGGGACCAATCGCCGCGATGATAAGCAACCCTCAAAGATAAGAGACGAAACAAGCCTCTATCAACCAATGACAAGCCCCCAAACCTCCAAACGACGTCCTAATGATGGGGCAGAAGAGAGAAGGAGCTCGGTGGTGGTGGCTGTCTGGGGTTGCGCTAGACCCTGATGATGCTTGCTTGCTTGCCCTATTACAAAACGTGGTTCCTTATCAGGAGCGCGGCGTTGGTGGTTTCCTATCTTGACAAGGCAGGGACGGGTCCCGTATATAGTCGGGAGATGTAAAGATGATGATGCGAGATCGGAGGAGTGCTCCTTCTTTTGGTGAGGCTGGAGGGGGTATTTGTATCCTGATCTTCCTTGGGGTTTAAGGAAAATTCAGTTGCGTCGAGATTTGCTTTGGAAGTGAACGATATGGCGTCGAATGAGGTCAAGTTCGATGTGCCCCTCTCGCAGGGCTTTGGATATGGTATTATCCTGGGTCTGGGGTTTGCTTTTGCTTTGGTAATGATTTTTATCACTTGGTCGCTCAAGAGGTATGTTTACTTGGACTGGCTTGTGCGCATTGCGCTGACCATTTGACAGATATCAGCATGAAGTCCAAACGTCTGAGATGTTCTCGACAGCCGGACGGTCTGTTAAGTCAGGCTTGGTTGCTGCTGCTGTTGTCAGTAGTTGGACGTGGGCTGCGACTCTTCTTCAGTCCACTTCAGTGACATACAAGTATGGCATTTCGGGGCCGTTCTACTATGCTTCAGGTGAGCTTTCATAAAGGCATATCTCTTTACAAAGTAATAGAATGCTAACTGTCACAGGTGCAACCGTCCAGATAATCCTGTTCACGACCCTAGCCATCGAACTCAAACGACGAGCCCCCAACGCCCATACCTTCCTCGAAGTCATCCACGCGCGATACGGAACGACCGTCCACATCGTCTTCATCGTCTTCTGTCTAATGACCAACATCTTGGTCACCGCCATGTTGCTCACCGGCGGTTCTGCAGTCTTGACATCCTTGACGGGCGTCCATACCGCGGCAGCGTGCTTCCTTCTTCCGATTGGCGTTGTGCTATATACTCTCTTTGGTGGAATTAAGGCGACCTTTATCACCGATTACATGCATACTGTGGTTATTCTCGTGGTAATCTTCCTTTTCGCGTTCTCAGCGTATGCGACGAATACGACTCTGGGATCGCCCGGGAGGGTGTATGATGCATTGGTTGCCGCTGCTAAGCTTAACCCGGTTGAGGGAAATGCGGAGGGGAGTTATTTGACTATGCGGTCGAAGGAGGGTGGTATCTTCTGGATCATTAACCTGATTGGAAACTTTGGGTGAGCAAGTCGATGTTATTGTTCTATGCAAGTACTGACCAAGTGACAGAACCGTCTTCCTCGACAACGGATACTACAACAAAGCTATCGCCGCACACCCCGTTCACGCCTTCCCCGGATACGTTCTCGGTGGTCTTTGCTGGTTCGCCATTCCATGGCTCTGCGCTACTACAATGGGAGTCTCTGCGCTAGCCCTAGAAGGCAACCAGCATCTGAGCTCCGAAGACGTGACTGCAGGTCTCGTGCTGCCCTTCGCCGCCGTCAAGCTAATGGGATACAGCGGTGCCGTCGCGACAACCCTCATGATGTTCATGGCCGTGACGTCTGCATTCTCAGCGCAACTAATCTCCGTCTCTTCGATCCTGACCTATGACATCTACCAGGCCTATATTGAACCCCATGCTAAGGGCAAGAAGCTGGTTTGGATCTCCCATATTACATGCATTATATATGCGCTTGCCATGGCTGCGTTCGCGACAGGTCTTTACTATGCTGGAATTGGAATGGGTTATCTCTACCTACTGATGGGAGTTATTATCTCTTCTGCTGTGTTCCCAGGTGCGATGACTTTGCTCTGGAAGAGTCAGAACTGGATCGCTGCTGGCGTTTCGCCAGTTCTTGGTCTGGCTGTGTCGCTTATTGCTTGGCTTGTGACTACGAGGAGGCAGTACGGTGATTTGAACGTTACTACTACCGGAGAAAAGTGAGTCTGTCCCGATATATCATCAACAAGAGAGACTAACAAGTTTAGCTATCCCATGCTGGCTGGAAACGTCGCAGCCCTCCTCAGCCCAGTGGTTATCTCCCCATTCCTAACTTACACCCTCGGCCCCCAAAACTACGACTACAAATCCATGCAAGCAATCCGCCAAGTCGACGACACAGAAGTCCTCGCAGCAGCACACGTCGACCCCGAATCCCTCCCTCCCACCGACGACCCCAACACCGCCGACAAAATAAACCCAACAACCTCCCAAATTCAAACCCAACCCCAATTCCAAATCACCCCAGAAGAAGAAGAAGAACGCAAACTCAACCGCGCGGCCCTCTACTCCCGCACCCTAACAATCTTCATGGTACTCTGCTTCCTGATCCTCTGGCCGATCCCCATGTACGCGTCGTCGTACGTCTTCAGCAAGCCATTTTTCACGGGGTGGATTGTTGTGGGGATTATTTGGCTGTTCGTGACGACGGGTGGGGTTGTGGTGTTTCCACTTTGGGAGGGGAGGGAGAGTATTGTTAGGACTGTGAGGTTGATGGGGAGGGATTTGATGGGGATGAGCGGGAGGAGGAAGCCTGTTGCTGATATTTCTGGGTTGGGGGAGGAGTCGGAGGAGGTTGTTGGTGATGGGAGTATGGGGGTGGAGGGGATGGGGGGCAAGAGGAAGGATGGGGAGTAGAGTTGGTGGTGGGTTTTGTTGGTTTATGTTAATATTTAATGACATACACGTTAATTTTTTCTAATTAGACACTGACATGCATTCACCGTTGACCTCACCCATTTAAACATATAGAATCTCTCCATCCTAAACCACACCAACCCAACATTACACGCTCCCCATCAAACCAAAATGCCCAAACCTCCGCATCCAATCTACGGCAACCCAGACAGACGCAAATTCATCCTACCCTACGCCATCTACTCCTGCGTCCCACAAGAAACTTTCAAGGCGGCCTTCAAAGCCATCCAAGACAACGTCGACCTAGTTCCCTCACTCACGCTGGTGTGGCTAGAGAGGATGAGAAGTATCATGAGTGGTTGTGTCTTTGATTTGATGTTGAGGCTTTTGAGGAGAGGAAGGAGATTACGGTTGTGCTTCGTGAGGAGAATGAGGCGCCGGAGACTGGGACGCTCCCTGTTTCTGAGGCGGCTAATTTGCTTGTAGATATTGCGATGGGACCGAGGGAATGGTAGACCAGATATGGAGAGGTACAAGATGAATTCGATTGCTTTGAATACCTTCACGACATAAAATTGACTGGTATCCCAAACTAGAACTCCGAGAATCCCATAATTGAAAAAATCAACAGAACGGGAATAAAAAGCAAATAAAACACAGCCCAGACAATCAATTCACGCTCATCCGCTCACTTGTACCCATAGTTAGGCTGCTCCTGCGGCGCCGGTGCGGCGCCAGTCGCTTGTGGCGGAGGATAGTAAGCCTGCGGAGGCAGATATGGGCCTGGTGGTAGATTCGCTGGAGGCCTTGTCTCGGGAGTGATATCAGGCCGGTCACTGAATGATATTAGTTACTTTCGAATCACAGGGACGAGGTGGCTGATACGCACCGCAGGTCCTGGGTAAATCGACATGTGTAGCATGTGACTTCCTGGAGGGGGTTAGTTACGGTCTTGGTTAGATCGAGGAATGTACAGAGTACATACCTTGTGCTTATGCATTGCTAGAGGGATCACGGGCTTGAGAGTGTCAGGTCAGTAAGCTACCAGATCCAACAGAGTAGTAGGGATGCATACAATGAAGCAAATAGTGAAAAAGGGCCTATGATTTGTCAGTAAAAGGCCATTTCCTCTTTTTTATTAAGATAACTCACCATCGAGTCAAACAGTGACCATTCCAGTGTTGGCCTGTAGGTACATTAGCCGCCAATTCAGGCACGGAATACTCCGGACAAGGATAAACAACGCACAGTTGTAGCAATACGCCTTAACATTCTCATATCCCTCAAGCATAGAGGTAAAATCTGTACACATTCAATCAGCACATGCCATCAATACACGGAATACTCCGTAGTCATCTATACGGTGTACACCAGAGTGGATAGATCTCATCGCGGTGGAGAGCACGGAGTTCAGGTACAGGAACGGAACGGGATGCGGTACTTACCATGCGTTCCGAACGTAATGCAAATAGCCATGATCGAGACTCGTTAGCGATAGCGATATCAATGAGGAAATAGACTGATATTCTGTCAAAAGCGACTTTTGCCGTCTATTTCAGAGGATTGAGTTACTAAAGAAGGGGCTGGCTCAAGGCAGGCGCTTTGTGAGGCGCCGCGTGACGTGTGGCGCTTGTGGCTTGGCGCTTGGCGTGGCATAACTATGTTGGACTATATACTATTATTGTATGTTATTCTTGTGTCGACGGAGCATGGGTAGACTTGCTTAGGGTTGGCTTAGATGGCGATGCATATTTGCAGAAAAGTGACCTGGCTGGGGCTTATGCGCGTGCTTGGAGGAATGGGAGGACCTTGTATGCGCTGTCATGGAGGAATACCGATTGCTATAATGAGACCATGGATATATGTTTACAAGGCCATGCCAACTTTCTGCCCAAGTCGTTTACACATATAATTATGTCACTCGAATGTTTAATTCGTAAACGCTTCAACAAGACAACCAAGAAATGAACAAGAGAAAGCGAAATAGAGGGAACCCGCTACCACAACGTAGAACTCCTCCAGGCCAAATCAGCGGACAGTCTCCACGTCGCTCGTGTGTGTAGCAATCGAAGTAGTATGTCGCCGTAAGTCCCCCCTGGTGGTGAGACATATACGGGGTATATCATCTCCTGAGACCAGGCACAACGTCGTCTGACCTTGCGAATGAGATTTGAATGTGTGTAGTCGGAGCGGTTCTATTGCGTCTTGAAGAGGAGGATGGCGCAGTGCCCGAGGTAGAAGTAAATGAAGTGTTTCGTCTCTGCAATTTGGACGGCGCGGTTAGCAGGCCTCCTTGAAAGCTTTCGTCCCAATCGAGTAACTCACCATGCGTGACAAAACTGCCAAAGTTTCTTCCTACTACACAGTGCCATGTTGCTCCCTTGCGCGAATCGAACTGTGATATTGTGAGCGATGCGAACGGGGAGGAGACGATGGGATGTGCGGACCTCTTTCTTAATGTACTGGGCGATGTCCTGGAATCTGTCAGCGCCAGTCTAATAAAAAGAGATAAAAGAGTAGCTCACTACCTTCTCAACGTGGTACTTGTCCATCGCCTCGATCGCTGAGAAATTAGTCGTTCGTCTTAACCCAGCTCGACCTGGAGGGTTCCCATACCAACTTCAACAGCCTCTTGTTGCATATCCTCCGTCTATTATCTGGTGAGCACCATCCGGTTTCCGACATCGCCGTAGTGTATTTCTTACCATGTCGACGGACTTGATTTGCGCTATACATTCGTCAGATTGGTTGTTTACCGGAAGGGCGACTCCTGATTTGGTACTCACGTTCCATCTTCTCCTTCTTGTCGGTGGCCATATTTGCGGAATATTGTAGAGCAGAATGTATATGGAATTTGGATAGCAAAGAAACAACGATATGCTTCAATCTTCAATGCAGTTCCTGTCGCACAGCGTCGTCATATGGTGGCCAGACGGAGTTGCGACAACAACATTGTCGAGGCGATGCACGGGCCACGTCCACATTTCCCTCACCGCCCTCGGCACTATTAAGACCCGCAAGAAAAAAAAAAGTAAAAAAATTTCTTGTAACTCTTGAGCATCTTCAACTTTTCTCCTCCATGGCATTAGAGAGATAATTGTGCCTCAAAACAGCCATCATGGAGAGCTCAAGAGTGTTTGTGTCTGGCCTACCGCCGACCTTCACCAATGATCAGCTTAAGAAGCATTTCGCAACTCGCTTCCATGTCACAGATGCACATGTCTTGCCGAAGCGCAAGATCGGATTCGTTGGGTTCAAGGACCCTGAGATGGCCAAGCAGGCTGCTGGCTATTTCAACAAAACCTATGTCAAAATGTCAAAGATCTCTGTAGAGATTGCTCGTCCTGTACGTTGCCCTGCTGTTGCTGTCTTTTTTGCCATTGTGCACGCTGACCGATTAAGGTGGTCTTGAGACTGACCAGATTTATTCTAGATCGATTCCAAACCTGATGCTAAGAAAGATGTCGGGTCTTCTGCTGCCGATGCTTCCACGGATGGGACTAACCTCAAGCGGAAACGCGAAGAGGACCAAGCCAAGCATGATTCTCGACTGCAAGAGTATCTTTCAGTAATGCAGCATCCGTCCAAGACAAAGACGTGGGCGAACGACGACATCCCCAGACCAGCTGAAGAACACGTACCAGCACCTGAACAGCCTGAGATGGAACCTTCTCAGGATGTCGCTGCTTCGCAGAGGAAGAAGGCCAAGGTGGATGGTCCTGCGCAGGTCTCGCATGCCCCCAAGGAGCAGGAAAAGGCACAACCGGAACCGATGGTTATTGACCAGAGTGGCAATGAGGAGAATGCTGAAAATGAGCAGGATGCTTCTGAGAAACAGGCTGAACCAGTTTCTGACAGCGACTGGCTTCGTTCGAAGACGAGTCGTCTCCTTGGTCTTCTGGATGAGGATGAGCAAGCTGAGTTTGACACGAAACCCGAAGAACCGGCTGCTAGTCCCGTCAAGGCCCGTGTTGAGCAGAAACCAGCGCCTGTCGAGGAGAGCGAACCGGAGGACACAGAGATGGCGGAGACAGAAGAGCAGGTAGAAGAGCACGATCCGAATGTCGAGCATGTTCGCAACTCTGCGCGTCTCTTCGTCAGAAACCTTCCCTACGATACGACCGAGACGGATCTCGAGCCAACGTTCTCGCCATTTGGCAAAGTCGACGAGGTTAGTTTTTTTCTTTTCTTTTCTTTTTTTTTTTTTTTTTTTTTTTTTTTTTTTTTTTTTTTTTTTTTACCCGCACCCATACCTGGTAATTGTTTACCAGGGTTGCTCAAATGATGATTCAACCTGATAGGGACATCAGATGCGAAAGCACATGATGGTAAACAGGAAGGAGAATTTTAGTAGATGCTCCGAAATCTGAAAAGCAACTTTGCATTTTGTTTTGCCAAATGTCGACTAGTCGATTTTCAGAAGCTGATTACTGACGGTCACAGATTCACGTCGCTTTCGATACACGACACTCCACCAGCAAGGGATTCGCATATATTCAGTATTTCGACCCCGATGCTGCTGTCGAGGCCTATAAGAATCTCGATAGAACAATCTTCCAAGGTCGTTTGTTGCACGTACTGCCAGCTGCCGCAAAGAAGACCTACGAGATTGACGAGATGGAGTTGTCTAAATTGCCGGTGAAGAGGCAAAAGCAAATAAAGCGAAAGATGGAAGCCTCCTCAGCCTCGTTTAGCTGGAACTCGCTTTATATGAACGTAAGTGGCTGTAGTGTCTATTATCTACGGCCCATCATGCTAATGTGCTTTCACAGGCCGACGCTGTGATGTCTTCGGTTGCAGAGAGACTTGGAGTATCCAAATCGGATCTTCTCGACCCCACGTCATCGGACGCTGCAGTGAAGCAAGCCCATGCTGAAACGCATGTCATCCAAGAGACCAAGGCTTACTTCACAGCAAACGGTGTCAACATCGAGGCTTTCAAACGGCGAGACCGTGGTAACACCGGCATCTTAGTAAAGAACTTCTCGTATGGTATCAAGACGGAGGAGCTCCGGAAACTGTTTGAGCCGTATGGTCAACTTGTCCGACTTCTGATGCCCCCCAGCGGCACAATAGCCGTCGTCGAATTCGCTAAACCCGATGAAGCGCAGAAAGCGTTCAAGGGCCTTGCGTACCGGAGACTAGGCGAATCGATCCTTTTCCTTGAGAAAGCGCCCAAAGATCTCTTTGAAGGTCCGCCGTCTTCACAGCTTCCCGCCGTCGAACCCAAGGGTGTGTCCCAGGGCTTCTCGACTGCAGATACTTTCGCGGCTGATGAGCCCGAGGAATCTCTGCCAACTTCTACTCTCTTTGTAAAGAACCTAAACTTTGCTACGGCTAATGATAAGTTTGTCGAGATGTTTCGGCCGCTGGACGGCTTTGTCTCGGCCAAACTCAAAACGAAGCCCGATCCCAAGCGACCTGGGCAGAAGCTTAGCATGGGGTTTGGCTTTGTTGATTTCCGAAGCAAAGAACAAGCTCAGGCCGCCCTGTCAGCAATGAATGGCTACACGCTTGACCAGCATCAACTGGTGATTCGGTTGTCGCACAAGGGCGTGGATGCCGCGGAGGAGAGGAGGCGCGAAGATACCGCCAAGAAGGTCGCCGCCCGGAGAACCAAGATCATCATCAAGAACTTGCCCTTCCAAGCCTCGAAGAAGGATGTCAGGTCGCTTTTTGGAGCCTATGGGCAACTTCGCTCTGTGCGGGTTCCCCAGAAGTTCGACCGGTCCGCCCGTGGTTTTGGTTTTGCCGACTTTGTAAGCGCTCGCGAGGCGGAAAATGCTATGGACGCATTGAAGAATACGCACTTGTTAGGTAGAAGGCTGGTGTTGGAATTTGCCAACGAGGAGGCGATCGACGCCGAGGAGGAGATCCAACAGATCGAAAAGAAAGTAGGGGAGCAGCTGGACAGGGTCAAGCTCCAAAAGCTCACGGGCACCGGTCGGAAGAAGTTCACCGTAGGGGCTCAGGACCACGAGGAGACATGAAGTCCCTTTTCCCTTCACTCCTTGCGGATAAAGGAACAACACCCAGCATGACCGCGTCGAACGGACTTGATACCCTTGGCCCCTTGCATGGCAAGCCGACCACACGTTGCAATCGCTGTCAGTTGGATGTGCAGCCTCCTGCACAGGCGCGGTTATCGTGCATTACCACTGCACCGTACCCTAATCGACCCCGTGTTTCTATACTGCACATACTGCATCAACCCAAATCAACTTCAAGACTAGGCGTCTTATGTACAGCTAGAGTTTTCCTCCTTTCGAGCCTTAAGTAGGAACAGCGAACATAGGACCTAACACACCAAACCTGCATTCCAGTGTTCTTTGTTACTCGGGCATTCTTCGTCTGGGCACCAGCATTCTTGGCAACCGTTCGTCGTCACTTGTTCCGCGCCAATACTTTCTTGCTCTGTTCCTGGTAGAGAAACGATGTTCGATTCGTGCATTGCAAAAATCTCCGAACAACTTTTAACTGGATCGTGCCCCCAAATGGATCCCTTGCATCCTGCTCGCTGGTACCCTATCGTGCCTGTTCTCGACTCCTGATTCGTCGCGGCAAGGACGGGCACTGTCTTCCTGTCCCTGTCACTGGGCTGGAGACGCGATATGCTGCGAAGGCGCGTGTCGTTGAAGGATGGAGGAGGGTGTCCTTGAGGGGCAGACGCTATCCAAACAAGTCAGCCAGTAATGTTACTAGGGCTACCTCGGCCCTTCCCTCCTCGAGGGCAGGGACTGTTTCCTATAAACACCATTGTTCGCTCCCGCATTCTCTTTTCCTATTCTTGCATTCTCTCCAAGCATTTGCGTTCTTTATCTGTGGTGTGTTTGGTGACTGTGCTGCGTTCTTGCCAGGTCGTAAGCATCCGGCAGTTTTTCAACACTTTCCTCCTTGGAATTTATCATTCTTTTGTTGGATAACTATCCTTGGTGGTCATTCGCTTCCCTATGGCTACCGACTGGCACCCGGACTTTCTGCCCCAGAACCAGCCTGCTCTGGAGAGTGTTGGAGGAGCTCATGTCGATCGAGCGCTCCAGAACACCTCAGGCAACGTACAGTCATACTCCGACAACCTTGCAGCACACCACAGCGATGCCACCGGCCGTGACGAGCATTTCCAGCAGCTGGCGTACAAGTATCCCCATCTGCCCCCTGCCCCGGCTCATCCAGTCCACGCTCCCACAAACTTCCACCAGCAACAGGCGTTAGCGGCTCGGTTTCAAGCAAAGAAGCTTCGACGAATGAATTCCGTTGGTCCTGGCTCGGGGGCTGCTCGTCGGGCGAAGAGCTACCTCAAGTCACAAAAGTATCTCGAGTATAGAGCACGTCCTCGACGAGACACGGGCAAAGATGGGGAAGCAGTATGGTCAGACGAACTTGAGGATGCGTTTCAACAAGGTGAGACTTATGTCCTTGCTTGACCTTGGTAGATAAATAGACCATATATGCTAACAATGCCTTAGCCCTCGAAGCAAATCCTCCGATGGGCCGACGGAAATGGTCTGAACAGGGAAAGTCCTATGGCCGCAATGAACTGATTGCCGAGTACATCTACGATGCCACTGGCAAGAGAAGAACAAGGAAGCAAGTTTCCAGTCACCTGCAAGTATTGGACTCGTTCCTGAAAGGTGACCCTGACTGTAAGTGTGTCGGTGTCCACTTGGCATAATACGGAACTAACAAGACTACAGGGGAAAGACTTGTACGAGAACAGTCGTCGGAACGCCCTGGTGGTACACCTCAGCCGACTGGCCCGCGGTGGAGGTCTTCGCACCGATCTCCTGTGCCAAGCAGTTATCGTCCCCCAACTCACAGTGTCTACCACGATCCCTTGCGGCCGGTGCAGCCTTACCCTGCGGAGCTCCCCCCTCCGACACACTTCACCCTGGGCTCGAATGTTCACGAGCCAGCGAATTCCCAGACTGTCTACGGGTTAAACCTCGATATGTGGGTGACCGCTCCTCATCAGGCACATCATGTAGACAAAGCGTTGCACCAGTACACTCGTCTTCAAGGGGACCAGCACCGTCCAGGAGCTCCACCGATGCCTCTAGAAAGCCTGATGGGCTGGCGGAGCGCCTTCCCGCACCTGTCATCGCTTACCTCTGGTGCTGACGGTGCCTTGGACTGCGACATTATCTTGCTTGAAGCCAGCCTCGAGCTCATGGACGATTTCCCTCCCCCTAGCTCACGTCTGGGGATTGTTCTGAATCTGGACTTCGGCCACCCAATGGCGGGCGATGTTTCGATGATTGGGCAGATGGAAAACTGGGTCTGCAGTACCTATCTCTACGAAAATGGACAAACTATCTTGGAGTCGCATCATAACCTCAAGAAGCCGTTGTCGACGCAAGTGCAACCGCTGTGTGAGTCGACATGGTGGGTGAAGCGACTTACTGAGTTGACCCAGGATAAACGAAGGGACGAAGATACGGGGCGGCACCATGCCGCCGACGAGCGGACAAGACGGTATTTCCGCTCTCTGACAGCAGTGACAGAAATCCGGGCGACATCGCCCAACCCCCGACGGATGTCCAACCAATTCCATCCTCAAGTGGATGAAGAAAAGAGAATGGCCATAGTACTTTGGAAATTCCGGCAAACACGACCGAACGAGGTTGGGACGACCACATGGAAGAAGTTGATCCCTCCACCTGAGCGCACCATTACAAACAGCCCGAGGGCGGCGCCCGGGATAGATCTACCCCCTCTTTCTCTGGACGGGCTTTCTATGCATAGGCCCGCTCCTCCGAGTGTTTATCAAGCCCCTCCTCTCCAGCCGCATGACTTGCTTCACGGCAATAGCTTGCCGCAGCCTCACTGGCAGCTATATCAGCAACCGCAGGAAAGCGTCGGGAACATGTTCAACACGACAAACTCGCTCGACTTCTTGAGCTCTATTAGCAGAGCTGAAGACGGTCTTGGAGACAGACCGGCAGTAACATCAGTCCTCGATCCATTCCCCAGTTTGCAACAACCGGAGACCAGCCAGCCAGCTAGCCTCAGCAGCTCTACCGATGCCCCTGTTATGCTGAACGCTCCGGACTACCCTCTACCTCAACCCCACCTTACAGGATACGGCATGGGCCATGACAGCCATTACATCCACTCCCAGCATCCCGTCAGCAATGTCCACGAAAGCAGCAAGTTCCTCAGCAGCATCCTGAGCAATGGACCGCAGCCCATCGACGACATGGGTCATAACCATGCCGCATGGGGCGCGCCTTCAACATCGATCCCCGATGATGTTGGATCGAACAACTACACCCATCTCCAGTTCCAGCCCTCCGACCATGAAGTGCCGGTGTCCCGTGAATCGTCACACCAGGTCAACGGGCTCGAAGGACTTGTGCCACCGGATTGGCTGGAGAAGATGGTTGGAGGGGTGTCTGGCGACCCTGGTGTGCATGGGGCAGGACCCGATCATGCCAATTCCTCCTATAATGAGAACATCGTGGAGGCGGTTTAATATGAAATATACTAATGCAGGATAAGGCAATATACCTCTCTAATTCTTCGATATTATAATCATTATTATTTGAAAAGTGTATTCTACTATATACTACCCTTTTGTTTTTTATTATTTTTCTTCTACGGAATGGAGTTCGGAGTGGGTGCAGATTATAGGGCTTTTCAGGATGAGGGACTACCACGCTTTATGTTGTACTGTATTCGATTTTCATGTCTTTTTTTCGGGGTATAACACTATCGTCGGATATAGCAATGTTTAATCAATAATGACCTTACATTTATGTCCATCGTACTCCTTAGAACAATTGTACGGATGCCAAGACCGGCGGAAAATGCCCGCGGCATCCTCAGTTTCTCCTCTATTCTCCAAATGAAATGCATGAGTTTACGATTTACGATAAAGAAAAGCACAATTGACCAAACATGGCCTCTCCCCTTTCGCGACTCGCAGCCCAGGCCGTGCACATCACAACAGACCCAATCCCTCGCTCATTAACCGAGAGCAAACAGGTCCTTGCGGCCTTGCAGAAGTTCGGCGAAGTCGTCACCTTTCGCAATCTATGGGTACATCCCTTCCACCATGTTGATATTCGCTGGACACTGACTAATATAAGAGTGATAATTCAAACAGCACGATGCAAAGAACTCCTCTCCAGCACATGCCCGCCACACCGTCGCGATCTTCGAAACGCGCGATGCGGCTTCTCGCGCAATTGCGGCATCACCCTTGACTATCCCCCTCCCACCTGCGAAAGCGAACGCAAACAAAACTACAACCACAAATAAAACTGCGCCCAATTCTCCCTTATCAAACCCGGAACAATCACAGCCCCGCTTCCTCAACTGCCGCATCCAGAAATCCCACCACAACCACGAGTCCGCCGTGAAGCGCAATCCGTACCACAGCTACTTCGAAGTCGATCCTGACACGCCTCAGTATCGGGATTTGGTGAATTCAACGCAGATTCCGCTTAGGGATTTGGCGGGTGGGTTTTTGGATAAGAAACAGGGGAAGAAGAGGATTTCTGCGGAGAATGAGAAGTGGGGGGCTACGTCGCTGTGGGGGATGTATGAGCGGGGGTTGAAGGCGGAGGGGAAGGGTAAGGATGGTGGTGCGTCTTCGTCTGGGGATGGAGAAGGACGGGGTGCTACGGGGAGTGGGTGAAGGGTGGTGAACTCAGTGAGTGGGTTATTGCCGCTTTCGTGACGGCAACGCATTGTGCCATGCCATGCCATTATATGACCGCGACACTCGTGGGTAGATAATGCTCCCGCCTGTCGCCAGTGGAGTATAAGAGCTCCCGACGTTGGTGTCCAGACCAGACAACGAGCGATTGAATGTCATTTACCCGGAGACTTATTGAACCGAAGCCTAGCTGTGTTCGATTGACTGCCAGTCTTTAGATGCTGAAGTTTACCAGCGACACTTCAATGCTAGCCTTTCCGGGCTGCTAGCCAAGTACGCTTATAGAACGAGCACCTGAGATATTGCCTGATGAGGATGGTGAAAATGGGGATAAATGACGGTCAACCCGTTGAACTACTGTGTCATATCTCATATAGAAGAGCTTATAGAAATACCAATTATGCTGTATCCGTGTTTTGTCACGTGGATGATGGATGATATCAGTTCTCTCTATCAGTTCTCTCTACTAATTGCACGACAAGCACCTCTGTTTCAACAAGCGATTATCCCGCCCGAGCCTGTCTTACTACTCTACATTCTCTACATCTACCCTTCACCATCCCCAAATCTATCACAGAATACACAAGTAGAATACGCACTCCTATTCAACCACAACAACCCCAAATCCCACCAATACCCTCGGCATAAAATACATCCCAATCGAAGATGCCGAAAACCTCGAACCATACTGCCCCGGAGACTACCACCCCACATCCATAGAGAACATATCCACAACCGCTACGACATCATACACAAGCTCGGTTTCGGAGGCTATCCGACTACCTGGCTAGCGCGAGATCAGAAGGAGAAGAGATATGTGGCTGTTAAGACTGGACTTGCTGGTGCTTCGGCCATCGGAGAGGGTGACTGCGGCGGGGATTATGGAGACGGAATAGATGCAGAGATGGGGTCTTCCTGCACTGGGAGGGATGTTAATAGTTGCGCGTGCAGTCCGTTAGGTTATTGCGAAAGAAATCGACTCTTAGATCCCGAAGAGCTAAAATTACACATGAAGCTAGGGTATAAATGTAAAAAAGTATTTTGTATCATTGGTCAAGAATTCGGATGCTCATGTACGAGCTCACACGCGCACAAATGCTATTCAAGTCAGTAATGATATATCACTAAGCAGTCAATAAGAAGAACAACTTACTGGCATCGATCTGCTTGATATGCGGTATCGCCAACCGCACTTTGTTCCTATATACGGCCGGTCCTTTCATCTGCAACGGATTGCCCTCAAAGTAAACCGTTTCTAAGTTCTTCTTCTCTTTCAGCTCGCGCTCGACCTCGTCGAAGTTCGCTAATTGATTATTCGACGCCCACAGTTCCTCCAATTGCTCCAAGCTGGATAAGTGTTCGAGTTTGGAGACTTGGTTGTTTGAAAAGTCAAACACCCGCAGGGAAGTATTGTTTTCGAGGCCGCTGAGATCTGTAATGGCGTTGTGGGAGACGTAGAGTTCTTCGAGATTCTTGAGGGAAGAGAGGCCGGAAAGACTCGTGAGTCGGTTTGATTGGATAGAGAGGATTCGGAGGTTTGAGAGGTGGTCCAGGTTCTGCAAGCATCAGTATTGAGACCTGAGGTGGTCATCCGATTGACACGAACCTTCATCTCGACGATTTTGTTCTTTCCAAGCCATAACTCCTCCAACGATTCTAATTTGTCGAGATTCTCGATTTCCTGGAACGGTCAGCATATGAGAAATACGCCGAAGAGAAGGACAACGAGCCCTGATCTTATTGCCACCAAGCTCAAGATTCCTCAACTTCGTTAACGTCTCCAACCCTTCGATTCTCGAAATCTTATTTTGCACGAAATAGATATCCGTCAACTTCGTCAGATGCGCCACGTTCTTGATATGCTTAATCTTGTTGTAACTCAAGTCGAGACTGGTGAGATTATGGAAGTCGTCCAAGCCCTTGATATGCGAAATGAGGTTATCGTAGAGATCGAGGTCGACCAACTTCTCCGCGATTTCCGGAGGGAATGCGATTCGGTGGATTTGATTCTGACGGAGGCATAATCTCTATTCCAGGAAACATGTTATTGACTGTCTTCGATGCGCGTCTATTTAAGCCGAAGAAGACATACTTCAACCTTAGGAAACCGTTCCAAATGCAATGCGGGAATTGAGCTTATGCGAGAGTGTACGAGATCGATTTGCTAAACCACCAGTAAGTCCGATTTTCCTTGCGCGACACGGACAAGATGCACCTACGTCAGTTTCCGGGTCCTCATCTTCAAGTAAATCTGCACGAATCGTTAGCCCCATGATCTCCCAATTCCAGGTACAATGACGTACCCTCATCGGCCTCGATTTCTTCAACAGGCGGCGCCTCAGGATCCGAATATTCGGGGCCCTCCAGAGCTTCCGGGTTTGTGATTTCTGCGTGCTGTCCAACCCGCAACTTTCCGTCCCAGCCGTTGTTATCCTTCATGGTTCGTGTGGTGTATTTGCGCGTGGGTTATTCGCAGTCGGAGGGGCAATGCGGACGTGACGTGACAGAGTGCGGGGAGATTGAGGTTCGTGGTCTCGTCGGAAACGAGGCGAAGTGAGATGGCAGTTAAGTGGTAGTTTAGCGATAACAATGCGCGATGAGAAGATATGACGAGGTCGTTTATGACGGACAATACTGGCGGAGGAGCAGCCGTTCTTTTGGTAATGTCTGTCGGACGTCGTTGAAAGTCACGTGACCCATATGGTCACCACGAAGTCACGTGATAAACACAACGCCATAACTATCGGAATAGGAACGATTTTTCCAGTGCCTTAATGAAGACTGATCAGATAAGATTCTTGTTATTAATATCGAAGAGTCTGTATATTGAATCGGATATTAGCTAGGATGAAGGACGAAATATCCTATCCTGGCAAAGTTCGAACATCTCCGATGGATCACTCTGCGGAGTCTAAGTCTATTCAGGAAAGGATCACTGCAGAATGCGTATCATATCTCGGGGATTCATAGTGCTTTGTTTGGAAGCCGCGTTGCCCTAATGTCTTTATGGCCGACGACTATGTATAATTATAACACCATGGCCTTCGAATTGTCTCCTATCATATCAATTGACCGAGCAAAGAAGAGAAACAATGGTGGCAGGTCTTTTCGTTGCCCTCTTGGGCCTTTCAACTCCCCTGGTATCAGCTCTCGCGCCAGGCCTTGAACTCGCCTACTCCCTGAACCGTGCGACTCAGGGTATCAGCATCTCGTCCGACGGCCGCAAGTTCCTCTCGCAGCGCTACTCCACGAGTGACCCGCCCCAGGCCGTCGAGCTGCTCAGTGACAACTCGACCAGACTCTACCCGAATGCTGCGTGGAACTCTTACAACTCCAGCAACTCGGACTCGAACCCTCGACGGACGTTTGTCGGCATCGACGGCGCGCGCATTGGACCTGATGGACGATACTGGCTGGTTGATGGTGGCTCACAGGGGGTTAACGGCTCTTCCAAGCTGGTTGGTGTGAACTTGACGACCGACGCCGTTGATAAGCTCTATTATCTTGATAGCATCATCGCATCGAGCAGCGGCATTGATGATGTGCGGTTCAATGCGGCTGGTGATGTTGCCTATCTCAGTGACACGGCTGGTGCGCTGTTGGTGCTGAACATGACGACTGGCCATGGCAAGCGCGTGCTTGCTAATGACGACTCGGCCACGGCTTGGTATCCCATGATGTACAATGGCACGCTGGTTCCCGGATACGGTCCCTCTGGAAGTACGCTTCAGGTTGGTCTGGACCAGATCGAGGTTTCCCCCGATGGCGTCTACCTGTACTACCAACCCTGCAACGGTGGCCTCTACCGCGTCAAGACTGCCTATGTCGATGCAACCCTGACGAACACCACCATGGCAGCAACTCTTGGAGACTACGCTGAGCCCTTCGCGCTCACACCCAGCACTGGCGGTACCACGATTGACGCCAACGGCAACATCTACGTTAGTGATACCAACTTGCTCGCCATCTGGAAGGTCACCCCTGAAGGACGCGCGACGATGCTTGTCCAAGATGATGCTTTGCTCTGGACTGATCTCATGTGGGTCACGGCTGATAAGAAGCTCTGGCTTCCTGCCTCGCAGATGCGTCCTGGTGCGAATGGCCTTATGGCAAAGGGTCCCAACTATATCTTTACTTATCCTATCGAAGCGGGCCCTGCGCCTATTGATCATGCTTAGGCGGCTATTGTGACTGTTGCGGGAGGGCTCTGGTCTTGCTTTGTACATTGAACCACAACTTCATGTATAACTAGATTTATGACAGTTCTTATATTATCTTATATAGTCTAAGTATCTCAAAAGTCCAGTCTGAAGAGATTAATACATACACCGAGGTATCGATTTTTTTCTTTTTCTTTTCTTTTCTTTTTTTTTTTTTAAAAAAAAAAAAAAAAAAAAATAGCTGGATACTATGCTGCCTGGTGTATCTAAGTATCGGTGAATGCCGACGTTGAGTGCAATGATCAGTACTCCGGAGTATTTTGAAGCTTCCCCAGAACACGATAAAAAATCATGACGGTTAACCGTGACAAAGACCAAGAATGCTACTACCTACATAAACCATCGTTTTCTTCATTCAACCAGACATATTCATTCCGTTCTTTTTAAACAACAAAAATGGCCCTAAACGCAACAATGCGCGCCGTCCTCTGGACAGGCACCCCCTTCCAAATGAGCGTAGCGTAATCGACGTCCCAATCCTCACAATCCAGAACCAAACCGACGCCATCATAAAAGTCACCACAGCCGCTATCTGCGGCACAGACCTCCACACCTACCACGGGGTATACGGAGCAAGACCGTGCCGTGGATCATGGGACATGAATGTATTGGTGTTGTTGATGAGATCGGGAGTGCGGTTGGTTTTGTGGACGTTGGGGATCAGGTTATTGTTCCTGACGCGACTTATGATGGATATGTGGGATTCGAGGGCAGAGAGGATGTGGGGTTTGGGTATGGGGTTGATTATGGGCTTGTGGGGGGTTGTCAAGGTATAATAAGTGCCATTTGCCGTGCAACAGGGAGCTTTTAGCTAACAACTGGCCCTGCTAGCTGAATATGTCCGTGTTCCATTTGCTGGCAATAATCTCATCCCCATCCCCAACACCAACGACACAAGAAACACCCTAGACAATGACTACCTCCTTGTCGGTGATATCTTCGCCACAGCTTGGGCCGGCCTCGATTTCTCCGGCTTTGAACCCGGCGATTCAGTCGCAGTATTCGGCTCCGGCCCTGTTGGTCTCCTAGCCGCATACTCTGCAATCCTCCGCGGCGCATCCGCAGTGTACGCAGTTGACCACGTCCCCGAGCGTTTGAGAATGGCAGAATCAATCGGTGCAGTCCCAATCAACTTCCGGGACTCCGATCCCGTCGACCAAATACTTGACTACGAGCCCAAAGGCGTAACACGCAGCGTCGACTGCATCGGCTACGAAGCCGTCAATGCAGTCCTCGAACACGAGCAAAACATCGTCATCAAGAACATGGTGTCCGTGACCGCACAGGGAGGCGGTATCGGAGAAATAGGCTGGTTCATTGCGTCCGGGAACTCAAGCGGGACGCCTCGTGGAAGCACAATGTCGCCGAAGATCGAGTTCCCCATATCAGAGTTCTTTGACAAGGGCTTGAGTATGCGCAGTGGGGCTGTGGATGTGCTGCCTTGGGCTTCGACGCTGGTTGAGTTGATTGCGAGTGGGAAGGCCAGGCCGGGGTTTATTGTTAGTAGTGAGATTGGGATTGAGGAGGTGCCGGAGTATTATGAGCGGTTTGATCGGCATATGGAGACGAAGGTTATGATTCGGTTTGAGGATTGATGATTTTCTGTTTGTTATAATAAGTTTGAAAAGCCACGTGGGTAGAGGATTTCAAGGTCGCGGGGAAGAAAGAATCAGCAGTTTGAACAAGGGTTGGGAATGCAATATAGCTGAAGGTTTATTTGGACATTTTCGGTTGAATATAAACCCATCAGAAAAGAGAGCAGAGCAGATCTCACACATTTTCTTATCCCAGTCTGTCATGGTGTCTTAACGCGAGCTGCCCAAGCATAGCGATCCCAGAAGATACATATTTCCTCGTTTAGCATAGGAGACTTGAATGTGGTGACGGTAAAGTCTGCAAGTAAGCCCAATTCCCATCGAAATCGGGTGATGGCTGAAATCTCTGCTGATTCGTTCCCCGATGTGCAAAGTTTGTAGTATCTCCTCATGTCACTGTCAAAGAGACATTAAATGGACCCCATCTCCCAATCGCCAGGGCAGGTCTGGTGGAATAGATGGGTCATGTCTGCTGTGAGACCTTGGGCTACTTTCTGCGTCATGATCTCGACTGTCTTATAAGTACTGGCAGTTGCCTGTGGGCTTGTGCCTTTAAAGATATTCGGATTCAATTGCAAAGGTTTCGAACCGGAATATGCATGATTGGCGAATAGGTTCCATCTTTTCTCAAGATTGTAAGAGAGCTCCCGGTTCATCCTCACCAGACAAGCTGCTATTCGTCGTTTGAAACACGGAAGGTGAATCCCTGGTAATCCCGTAATCGATCACGACAGCAAATCCCAAAGGCCTCGGCAGAATTTGTTGTAAGTCAACGTTTCATTGATTTCTCTGCTCATGATATCATTCTCGTTCTTGATTCTGTCCACCGTCAAAGAGCCGTTGCGCAAAGGTCTCAAGTATAAATACTGCAAAGACGGAGCCACAAATGGGGCCAAGGCTGTCTGATGTCGACCATGAGTTTGAAAAACATCTGCCATAGTGTTCATTGCATATGTTGCTGCAGCTAACATTGTGGTCGCGTTCAGGTCTAGGCTAGCCCATCCTGAGTAGCATGCAGTCGTTATCAAGCAGACTGGCACGCCCGGCTCTAATGCTCCTTTGAGGTACGTCATACTAATTCCATGATCTTTTTCGCACGCTCCGACGACATGTATGTGTGCTACCCTGGCGGAAGTGATCTCCCCTTTATCAAAAAGACTGCAGCCCAGAACTTCTTTTCTGGTTTCAACCAGATTACCGTGTAGGTGCACGCCGTACTTGTCGACTAACTTGCAAAGATTCTGTAGAGTAAGTCTGAAGGGAAGCGGCCGTGAGCCATTTATGCTCGTCCGAGCCCCTTGAGAAGATAGTTGAACGCGTAGAAATCTGATACCATCCATCATCCACTTCGCCCGCTGTGTTTATATAAGGGCGTGTTACTGCCAAACTGATAGCATTGTCATGGATAGCATGGTTGAAGATTGCTGGGTGGGAGTACGGGCTGCGTTGAGTAAACTCCACGGATGCCCTAGTCACGCGATACATATATTCACTGTAGCCACCCAATGTAAGGCACAGAGGGGCTCGGAACAAAGTGAATGTTACGAGAATGCTAGAGAAGATGGGCCGTAGCCCATATTCACCGCACTGTAGGATCGCTGGTCGGTCTTTCGGCATCCAAGATGCGTAAGGACGAAGCGACGAGCTACCAAGTTCATTATTGCTGCTTCCTAGGTGTGATTTTATTGCTGTCCATATTACCCTAAATCTGGTCATTTTGGCAGAAAAGCCCGACACGACGCGAAGACGATCATACCGTGACAGTTTATCAGTATGGTAAATAGGGACCAGATCAGATGCTGGTATCTGCTTAGTTACAGGGATATAAGCCTTAATCTCATTAGGAGGCGTGCTTCTTTCGACATTATGCCCAATGCTTCATTGGCGTTCGCTAGCTCCTGATTGAAAGGGGGTGGGTGCATGTCTGGAAATGCTCACATGTGGACACTGGTTAAAATTGGACTGCCGCATGGCAGCCACATCTGCCAAGAGCTGTAGTGCATTTCTATACACTACTAAACCGCATCGTGGATAATTGGATGTTAAAGGTCAAACTCTCTTGTAGGGCGTGGCATCTGCACGTGTATTGCGTACTGTAAGTTACCGGCAGGGTGTAATACAAAGAACCGGGATCGTCCTGGGCCGAGTGGTCCTAGCGCAGCCCGAAGTGGGCCCGGGCACCATGGCCAGATAAAACCCACCAATTAGAGCAATGGTGTTGGCGCCTTGTACCTTTTGCTGGGCGGCAGCAGAGTACAGTCTTGGCATGGGCGACCAATCATATTTGTTATTGCCGGCAGAATGCTAAAAGAGGGCGGTAAGGTGCAGCAGAGCGTGGTTGATTGGTCAAGGGACGGATATCAGACTGGAGAAGTTGGAGATCATGAAATGCATTCAATGGCATGATTTGCACTTGTCGGAGTAGAGAAGGAGGGTGTATGGAGATGTCACAAAAACACCAAATAAAATGAGTATCAAAGTCGCTATCTGATCTCATTATCCCTATTATCTCTTAATAATTCCAGGGGTACAACACTCGGTACTTTGCACCCCCATATGAGATGCCCTCGGCAACCATAATCTCCGAAGCAAACATGGGTAATTGGTGATAATAGGACGTAGTTCAGTTGTCAATTAAATATTCTTAGCTGTGCTCATGAAGTCAATTTTAATAATTTACACATGGCATACCCAAATTACCACGGTACACGGCCCTTGATACGCATACATACATCCGCCATACATGCAGGTCGAAGCATCCTACTACCATAAACACAACAACAAATCTCAGGATAACAACAATCAAACAAGACTCACAGCAGCAGGTCATATTTAACAATATCTGTACAAGTAATAGAGCTGCTTGTCTTGTTTTGTCCTGCTTGAAGAAAGCACAGTGATCATTTAGCTGGCAAAGCTCCATTGGGCATCCTTGATCTGGAGTCTGGACCAACGCCGGGGGTGTGCTTCCCCCGTAATCAATCCTCTTCCTTTTCCTTCATCTTTTCTTTTCCATCCTCGTTTCATCTTCTTTTCTTTATCCTCGCTGTCACTGTCACCGTCACTGTCACTGGCACCTTGTTTATATCTCTGTATTTTAGTACGGAGCACTGTCTGCCCGTAGAGTAAGCTGCCCGACCCATTTCCAGAGATCAACACTGCATTCCTCTCCGCTTGGAATTTGCCGTCGTCTCCTCTTTTTGTTCTCCTCCTCTTCTTCCCCCCCTCCCTTCATTGATCTGGATATTTGTTATGATTGTGGTCGTTTTCTAACGGGCATTAACAACATATCTAGTTCTCCCCCCTTTTCCTTCCGCTTTAATCCAAATCGAGGTTCAGCCTCCATTGACCCATTCCTCCCGCTCAAATAAAACGGAGACCATCTCAAAGGATCAACCCTGCGGGACCACGTGACCTTTGCTGACTGTCTAATCGACTTCCCACCTCGACGACCGCCGCTGCTGGCCTCGCAATTTGCATATGATCTCGTCCTGACCGGTTGTTTCCCCTTTTGATTTCTTTTTTCGTCTTTCGATTCGAACTTTACCTGCAGCACCTTACGAATCGCTTGCGATCCATCTTTTATTTCTTCAAAAGTTTCGACTTTTTTTTTTTTTTTTTTTTTTTTTTCCTTGTGGTGCCGTGCACGAGCCTTGGTCCCAAAGGCGGTGGTCCGGACTTTCGTCCAGGAGGCGTGACTTCCACCACTACTGCTACCACGACAACTACCACCATAACCGCCATCCCCAATCCTTCGAACCGGCTGCTCCCTTATCCTCCTCCTCCTCCCTCCCTCCCTCTTTCGCGTCTCTCAACGGGTCCCTTTTGGTGGCTATTCTCACCTCGCCATCACGCATCCCCTGGGCCGTTGATCTCGTCGCGCCTCTCGTGATCTTCGCTCCGCTACTGCCAATTCCCCAATGCTTGGAGGGAGCTCAGAGCGAGGTTCCGCTCTGAAGTCTGCCAACGGAGAAGCACCCATGTCTGTCGCGTCGGGTCAACAAAGTCAGTCTTCCCCCCCTTTTTTTTTTCTTTGTCTCCTTCTATTTACTGGTTATCAATGGTAATGTTTACTAACGCCTATTTCTTTCGCTTCGTTAGACCCCGAATCATCGCTGCCCCATAACCAGATGAATAACACCGATGTATCGCTCTCGCAACCCAAACCCGGGGAGTCCTCCGAACAGGTTCCTGGCCCTGTCGCATCTGCTCAAGCTTCCGGTGCTGCCGCCAATGCAGATATCGCCGATGGATCGAGGAAACATCTGCTTGCGCCCGCTGCATCGCGGAGCTCGTCCAAGGTGGACAAGCAATCAACGCTCGACAAAACGCAGGAGACGGTCCACGATGATTCAGAGAACACATTGCGAGGTTCGAAGAGAAGCATTCTGAAGGGACGGAGAGACAGGAGTAGGGGTAGTAGCAGGAGGTCTCGACGGCAGAATCAAGACTCGGCCAGCGTGGAGAACCAGAAGACGCCGACCGGCCCGGAAGCGCCCCAGCCAGAAAAGAAGAAGGTCTCGCTCCGGATTTTTGCTTTCCTGAGTTGCTGCTCCTCATCCAATGTCGATTCAGAGGACACGGCCATTCCAGCCAAGAAGACCGTCAAGCGGCAATCTCTATCCAACCGACAGCCTACGCCAGAGAAAACGGAGCCCACCCCTGCCGATCAGAGCACAACAGGACCTAGGGAGCAGAATCAATATCGGGAAGAAAAGCCTAACCCGACCGTGACTTCCAATCAATCTCCAGCTCAGGTTGAAGAAGAACGCGATGCTGCGCTCCAAGAGAAAGACGCGCAAATCGATGAGACCGCCCCGGCTTCCGACCAAATTCAACCCGACCATGGTCCTGCGACCGTCCAGAAAGATTACGATGGCCAAGCCTCGACAAGTGCACCCCGAGATGCGGCACCGATGCCGGCCCCGGCGCTGGAAAAGGACGAAAGCCCTGCGCAGAAATCCGAGGAGCATGTCCAGTCTCCTTCTGTCACTTGGGATCAATCTGTTGATGATTCTCCGGTGGCAGACCCGAGCAAGGCAATGGCAAAACCGTTGGCCGAGACCGATCCGAAAGAGGAAGTTCAATATTATTCCCATGACGAAGAAGTTATGGGAATACCACCACCCCCGCCTCCGATGGCCCCCCCAAGTCAAGAGGGAATCCAACAGCAGTGGCTGCTGCCTCCCGCTGTGCCTCCATTGCAAAATCGGAAATGTCTTGTTCTCGATCTGGACGAAACCCTGGTACACAGTAGCTTCAAGGTTCTCGAACGCGCCGATTTTACTATCCCGGTAGAGATCGAAGGCCAATACCACAACATCTACGTGATCAAGCGACCTGGAGTCGATCAGTTCATGAAGCGAGTGGGAGAATTATACGAAGTGGTCGTCTTTACGGCATCTGTCTCCAAATACGGTGATCCTCTATTGGACCAGCTAGACATCCACGATGTCGTCCACCACCGGTTATTCAGAGACAGTTGCTACAATCACCAGGGCAACTACGTCAAGGATCTCTCCCAGATCGGGCGTGATATTCGGGAGACAATCATCATCGACAATTCCCCGACTTCTTACATCTTCCATCCTCAACATGCGATACCCATCAGCAGCTGGTTTTCTGATGCTCACGACAATGAGCTTCTCGATTTAATTCCTGTTCTCGAAGACCTTGCTGGCACCCAGGTTCAGGATGTCAGTCTGGTTCTTGACATCTCCTTATGATTGATGTCTTCAGCCTCGTCCATCCGACTTACTTTCTTTTTTTGTTCCTTCTGTCTGTTGTGAGAGCCTGACTGAGTTTGACTCAGGCTTCTCGTTTTCCTTTTCCTCTGCTTAATTCTTCTAAAAGAAAAAGCAAGAATTTCTTGCTCCCGCCCTGCTCGATTATCTCAATTATTCCAGTCAGCAATTCGTGTATTTGTTGCATCTTCTGACATTTTCCCAGATTGACCTTGACCGTTTTGCATCAATCAATTGTTGGGTCTTTCGTCTGTACTCCTAGAGAGTCGATACCTTGTCTTTGCACTTTGTGTAACCTTTCCTTCTTTGCTTGATTTCCTTGAACTTTCCTTATGTTTGTTATACCTTGCCCCGAGATTCCCTTGTCTTTTTCACTTTTTTTGCATCCTGCAGGCGTCTGTATTAGTTATCAGCCTACATTTATGCTGATCTCATGTATACGCTCCTCTGTTTTACATTCTCTTCTATACTTTCTTTTTCTGTCTTTACTTTTTCTTTTGGTCTTTTTTAATAACTGCCCTGGAGAGGCTCGACAGTACTGTCTTGTTTCCTATTGATTTCCTTGATTTCTCCCTTGTGTTTGAATTTCGACTCACTGTTACAGCCCTAGTATTCAGTTTCCTTTTTTTTTTTTTTTTTTTTTTTCTTGTTTTTGGTTAGCTATTGACATTCTTGGTCCGGAATTTGGTTTGGGCACTGTCTCATGCCTTCGACTGGATGTTTGAATGTCGGGACCCTTATATGTACATGTACTTGGTTAGTGCGGCGCACGTGCTGTACATAAAAGCGTTCGTCATTCCAAATACAGCATTATTGGCGTCTTAATATTAGTATGAATAGGGCTGGATTCAAAGTAGCTTTCACATAGAATAATGTGGGGGATGACCCGATCCACAAGGCTGCTGACAAATGCAGTCGAATTTTAAAACGATAGGATTAATATTTTCCTCCAAACAAATCCGGGAATAGTTCATATTTACATTAAGTAGCATGGAGACTGACACGAACCCAAGGCAACACCCTCAACACCGGGCTAAGACACGATCACGAATCAGCGCTGCATGTGTCCGTTGCCAGAAACGGAAGATAAGGGTATGTCTCTATACCCTCGTACATGCTCAGATATACCTATTTTGCATGTACTCCGACATGATCCCAGTGCGACGGCCGAATACCAGGTTGTAGCACTTGCCAGAAAGCGCGTGTGAACTGCGTTGACGGAGGAGCTTCACGCGATATCTCGCGGAGGTACGTTGTGAGAAAGGATGTATGGCTCAATAGTGACACTGATTGACACGGTCCAGTTATATCAACGACCTGGAATCAAGGGTTGCATGGCTGGAGTCTGTTGTTCGGGGGCACGCTCCGGGGGTCAGCCTGGATGGGGAACAAAATCATCAACATACGGTCAATGGCGCTAGGACAGTTGAATCCCCTCGTTCCCTCGAGGAAGCTGCTACTGCTATTACTACTAGCCGTGGTTATAGCAAAGATGACACTTCACTGCGCGACGTCACCGATCAGATTGGACTTGTTTCAGTCAACGGGGCAGATCTCCGATACTTGGGACCGATACTTGGGACCGTCGAGCGGATTATTCTTCACGAGACTTGTCCTAACAGGAGGTCCAGATGGAAAACACCTCTTCTCTAAACCCAAAAGCAAATGATGATTTTACTGTTCCGCCTGAATTGCTCGATGCCTAGCCAAGGGGCCTGCCATCGGACCTGAGACATGCTCAGTGGTTGTCGCAGACATATTTCCAGAGTGTCCACTTGCAATTCCCCTTCCTGCACGAACCGACACATATGGAGACTGTTCGGAAGCTTCACGATGGCGTTGATGCCGGGCCAGCATGCAGGTTTCGGATATTTATGGTCCTGGCCATCAGTGCGACGATCAGATCCTGGCAGGCGAAGGTGCTGCTGTCAGCTGAGGGTTACTGTGCTTCGGCTGTTGCTCATATGGATAGTCTCTTTGGCAGACCTTCTCTCTCTGGTGTTCAATGCATTCTGCTGCTTCAGGTGTATACTATTAACAATCCGTCATCAGGCCTGAGTCTTTGGACTCTTCATTACCATTGTTTGGCATCTATTCTGGAGTTGGGGTTACAGCACAATGTTCAAGGTAGTCACCTTCCTGTCTTTGAGCAGAAGATGCGGACTAGGGTTTTCTGGTGCGTTTACACTGTCGATCGGGTGTTGAGTACTCTGTTGGGGAGGCAAATTGGGTTGATGGATGAGCAGTGCGAGTTGAGGGTAAGTGGCTTGCTCGCTCAATGGCATTCGAATCGTATTAACCGTATGTAATTGCCGCAAGATATCAGTGATGAGGATCTCAAGCCAGACCAACACGAACGAACCAAACAGGAAACACCCTAATCAACATGTCCAGCGCAATCCACCTATTCAAGCTATCAAAATTCAACGCAGAAATCAAATGCGTCCTATACTGCGTCGGCCAACTCTACGGCCTATACACCCAACCAGCGATCACAGACATCGAAAACTGGCAAGCCAACGTCATCCACCGTTTCCGCCAATGGAAGTCCGAAATCCCACGCCATCCAGAAACCTCCCAATGATACTACCTGAACCTCATCTGCGAAATCAAATACCACGAACCAATCATGCTACTCCTCCGACCAAGCCCCCGCCTCCAACAACCACCCAAATCCTCTCTCCGTGAATGCTTCTCCAGCGCTCTAAGGTGCACCCGGCTCTAGCACAGACTCTTATGTCACAGGCATGCTGTACTATAGCTGGATCAGCACGCATTTGTTATTTCTGTGCGTGATTAAGATGTTCTACTGCGTCTGGGTACCGAACGGCGTCGCTGACGAGGTGGACTTTGACGACCTTACGAGAGCGCTCAAACCTGCGTCGGACGTCCTCAGTGCTACGGGGTAGTATTGGCCCGAGGCGAAACGGAGTCGGGATGTATTGGATCGGATCTCGATGACGACGATGCGGCCGTTTACGCAGAGGGTGAATCAGGATCGTCCACTGTCTGGATTGCGGTCTGCAGATGAGGTCCCATCTGCCGGAAGCTTGCAGAGACCAGTTGATATGGTAGATATGGATCTACAGTCGCCGCCTCTTGCGTTTGACTCGGGTGATACAGGTATTACTCCAGCTCCTTTTCCTCTTTATGGAGCACCGGCTAGCGCTTTGTGAGTACGGATTTGCTGCCGTATTTCACGGATACCTGGGCGGATGTAAATGTGAACGATGCGGAGCTATTGGAGGAGCAGTATCCCAGTGTGGATGAAGTGATGCAGGATTTGTTCTTTAGGGATGGAGCACGGGGGTTTGAGCATGGTTAATGGCTTATGCTTCATGTTTTCCTATTAATTTTATGTACTATATAGAGTAACAAAAAAGTGATCCTATTTTTCCACCCAGGCAAGCCATTTCAGGAACCGGAATTTTCTCGGTCTTCATTCTGCAACTTACAAATACATATGCCTGGCTTTGGTCTAGTGACGTGCTGGTAGAGCAGTCCTATAAAGGCGCGGATAAGACCGTCGCTTCTCCTTCTCCACCTCCAGTGTCACAGCTGGTGACGGAAAGAAGGAATGTCAAGCTAGGAAAATAAAGGACAATCAGATCTCGAGCAACTCTATTACTGTGAGACTCCATTTTGGGTCTTTTTGTTGGTTGGTCAATATGAGGGATCGGCCAGCCCGCCTGGCTTCTTCGAAAGCCATGTCAACATCCTTATGTCATCCGTCCATTTCGACGGAAAATAGCACTTCCCATCGTATACGGCGACAGAAAGGACGGATAGAGTATTGCCATTGGGATTGGATTTCCGGCCGGTCTTCCCGCAAGGACGGGTCTTTCGCGAGTAGGGTCTATAAATGCGTCATTCTGTCGTCCCTCGACTACATTTTCCCATTCCTTTACACATTGTACTCTCTCAAAGATTTCAATATGAGCATTACATACGACGTCTTCCGCGGCTCCCCTGAGGGCAACATCGTCGCCGACAAAGTCACCCAAACCCTCAAGCACAATGAAGTCTTCATCGAGACCATAACTTCTGGCCTCTGCGGAACGGACGAGCACTTCCGGAAGACCAACCAGGTCCTTGGACATGAGGGCATTGGCTTCGTGAGAGCTGTTGGTTCAAGTGTGACTTCTCTGAAGACTGGGGATCGTGCTGGGTTTGGATTTACGCATAGTGTTTGCGCAAGTTGTGACAATTGTGTTACCGGTACTTCTACTCTCTCCCTTTGGATTGGTTCTGGTATTATGTATTCTAACGCAGGAATCAAAGACTGGGACCAGTTCTGCCGTAAAGTTAAACAATACGGCAAGAACGACTTCGACAATGGCAGCTTCAGCTATGGCGCCGTCTGGGACGCCAACTGCGTCTTCCCTATCCCAGACGGACTCGAATCTGTACACGCTGCTCCGTTGATGTGTGCCGGTGCTACCGTTTGGACTACCTTGACCAGATTTAATATGCATCCTGCAGATCGTGTGGGCATCATGGGCATCGGTGGTCTGGGTCACATAGCCATTAAGCTTGCTGCTACGCTGGGATATTACGTCATTGTGCTTTCTACCTCTGAGGCGAAGAGACAGGAGGCTATGGAGTTTGGTGCGTCGGAGTACCATGTGTTTCGTTCGGGAGAAGGGCCGCCGGAGGGGTTCAAACCTATCAAGCATCTGTTGCTGTGTGCGAGTGGGGATGTTGATTATTCTTCGTTAGTGTTCTATGTCCTCTCGATTTATAAGAATATGGCTAACTCGAGTGTTCGATAGTCTGTTGGCCCTTATGGATACGCCCAGTGTCATCTACCCGTTGACTGCTACGTTTGAGCTTTCGAAAATACCCACGTTGGAGCTATGTTTCAAAGGGATTCGGATTCAGGGCTCTTTGGTCGCTTCGCGAAATAGCATCCGGACTCTTCTTGATTTTGCGAACAAGAAGAAGATCGCTCCTACCATTATGACCTTTCCGTTGACCATTGCTGGGATCGAGGAGGCGATGGAAACTCTGAGGGAGGGGAAAATGCGGTACAGAGGCGTGCTAGTTCGAGAGTAACTAGGTCATGACTACGCTGTATAGATGTACCTAGATGGTTTATCAGATGGAGAATATGATCCCCTGCAGCTTTCCTTTGCTTCCCATATTAGGGAGTATCCCGTGCGTATATCCTACAAACTAACAACTATCTTCTCCGCCGACACACCCTTCCCCCATTCATCAATTCCCGTCTGAATAGCCTCGAGTCCCTTCCCAACGACCCGCGGCGCAGGAGCAGCAACAAACTTGCCCTCCGCCAGCGCCTGCGGCAAGTAATCATTGTAAACCGCACGGCCAACCTCATTATCCTTGATACTGATCGCATAAACAGACTTGACTTCCACATCTGTTCCCAACTCCTCAGATACAGGCCACACCGTCACAACGACCACGCGCGTTTGCAGTTTATCCAACACAGCCAGGCAATTCTGCAACGCACCGCCTGTGTGGATGGTATCGTATACACCCGCAAGTTCCTTCCCCTGCAGCGCAGAAATGATATCCTCCACAACCGTCTCACTGCGATAATCAAACACCGCACTCGCACCTAACGATCTCATAAGATCAAAATTCCTCGGCGACGCCGTCGTAACAACCTCATACCCAGCCGCAACAGCCAGCTGAATCGCATTAACCCCCACACTCGACGCACCACCCCAAACCAACACCGTCTTCCCCGTCGCAACCGACTCAACACTGGGCAACCCCAACGCCAAATAATCCTTCTGAAACAACCCCGCCGCAGCAGTCGACACCCCCAACGGCAACACCACCGCTTCTTCAAACGCCAGACTCTCGGGGATCTTAGCCGCCACATTCTCCAACACAGTCGTGTACAATTGAAACGCGCCGTCCTGCGGCCGTTGCGTCGCCATGCTCATTGCGTGCGCGAGAACTCGATCACCGGGTTTGAAGTTCGTGACGGAAGAGCCAACTTCGGCGACTGTGCCGGCGACATCGTGGCCGAGGATTGTGGGGTAGGTGAGGGGGAAGTTGGCTTTTGTTTGGAGGTGCCAGTCGATGGGGTTTATGGCGACTGCGGCGTTGCGGATGTGGAGTTCGTTGGGGCCTGGGGGGGTGTAGGGTGCGGGTTGGATTGAGAAGGGGTTGGTTTTGGAGGAGGGGAGCCAGGCTGCTGAGTTGGTGGACATTTTGTGGACTTGGCAGAAGTGATAGAATAGAGAAGGTAACTAGTTGAGGGTAATGGATAAGAGAGACCTTTGTATTTTTAGTCAAATCCGGAGATACATAATCTGTAAGTCAAGGCGGATTTTACAGTATCTCCGATTTATCTGCAGACCCATAAACTGCACCCACACTATTTTAGCGCGTAAGCATCCTGCATTAGCGCAGTCAACCATCCAATAAAAGTGCTTTATCAATAGCTAAATTTCTTAGCCTACCCACTTACCAATTCTAGGAATCGATTACCAATGGCGCTTCAAAAGTCAGCAAGTTGCATAAACTACAATCGACCCCAGACTAATTTTCCACACATCTTCATTGCAATTTTATCCTGCTGACAGCTGAGCAGTTTATATTACCACAATGATTGCTCAAAGAGGAAATACAGACGCGCAGGTACAGTCCGGGCATGTTAATCCGCGAGATCAGATGCGGGTTCCCGAGGATGATTGGAGGGGAATCATAGATCAGAAAAAGAGGAGAAAGTTGCAGAATCGGTTGAATCAGAGGGCGTATCGTGAGTTTTTTCTAGTTCTTCTAGAATGAATTGGTTGACACTAACAGCGAATTAGGCTTAAGAAGAAAAGGAATCAGTGCTCCGGGAGAAGAAAATCCCACCAGCCTATCTCAAGTAATTCCATTCAACGGGCACAAAGAAGAAGAAGAAGCAGACATCATGAAATGCACCCGCACCCCACCAAACGCCCTAGCCTTCCAGCGCTGGTTCGAAGCCACAGTGCACCACAGCTACCTCCACGGCAATCCACAAGTGGAACATCTGATCAGCCTTAGTCGGCTTAACGTGCACCGCGCTATTAACGAAAATATAAAAATACTCGGCATGAATTCTGATTGGATGAAGAGTGATGATTCTGTTTCGATCTTTAATCTTCTTCAGCCTGTGACTGGGAACGGGACTGGGGAAGAGAGTATTCCGTCGAGTTTACGACCGACGACTATTCAGCGGACTATCCCGCATCATCCATGGCTGGATTTCTTTCCGTTTCCGCGGATGCGTGATACTTTGATTCTTGCCTGCGCTGCTAATAGTGAATTTGATGATGATGAACTGTGCCATGATCTTATGGCATTTTGGGATACGAGGAATACAAATGCGACATTGCTGGTGTGGGGACCACCGTGGGATCCAGGGAATTGGGAGGTGACGGAGACGTTTGTGAGGAAGTGGGGATGGCTGCTCAAGGGATCGGGGGAGCTGTTTGTTTCGACAGGGACTTGGAGGAGGAGGAGAGGGGAGAAAGCTTTGGATTGGGGGAGTTATGTACAGAGTGTAGATACTGTAAATTGAACTGCATGATTGACTGAGCCCCGGAGAACTCTTCGAGGTTGCCATAGCCGGAAGCTCCCAGAGACGGTTTCGGGAGATTGGGCAGTAAGCCCAGATTTCAACACGGCGCTGGTAGTGGACAAAGATGTCAAGGCTAGGAGCATGCCTGATACGTGGCCCAGTTCCGAAAGCATTGGACACGCTTGTGGTTCGGTGTTTGCAAGCACGTTAGTTAAGGCTCTGTCCAGTCCAACGGGCCCGCTGGGTGTAGAAGAGAGCGGTGAAGAAAACAGCGAAGAGGAGGACGACGAAGAGAACATGACTTACAATGCCTTCTGCAAAGCTTTATGGGACACATGCAAAGACCGGGTATATCGGTTTTGGGAGCACCAGGAATTCACGTTTAGCCCGGATGACCAATAGGTGTACTCTAGGTCTGGACGCACGGGAATTCCCCTCGCTCACTTTGAGCAGAGATGGAATCAGCTTCTCTCTCATCCATGTCCTGCGCCAGCAGACGTGAGGCTCCAGAGAAACCCTGCACCTACCAGCGTGGATCTCGCTCCCGGCTCGAGTGTGCAGCAAGCCGCCGGCGTCCAAGATGCTGACAGCACAGTTTAGCTGATCAAAAGTATCTTTGAGTGTACAAGAGAAATGGCCTATCTCTTACGATTATGGCAACCAATATGTTATTGTACCCAGTATTTCAAAGTATGCTGTGTCAAAGCTTTTAGGTGAGCATGCGATTGAATATCGTTTTACGCATGTGGAAACAACCATTCGTGCCATCAAGGTCATCTTCTCAGGGGGGCACATAACATAACCGTGAGACGCTTTACGGGTGAAACTGAATGGCAACCCAGGAGTATGGGCATCAGTGCGACAGCGTTCTAGTTCGGAAGCAGCACCACCCACCCAGTAATTGCCAGTGAGAAATCGAAGCAACCTGAGGACTGTTTTTATCGAGGCCCTCGAAAGATGGACAATGGGGATATTATTGCATGGTCGACGTTTGTGGTGGAAGCGGGTGTTTCTGAATCACTCCCCCGACTACGACAAGATACGAGTTGGTGGTTTGCCAACTCAGCAGGGATGATTCGGATTGTACTATTGTTGGTAGTCGCCGGACACGCCAAAACAGGAACATTCGGTGATTTTTTCTGGGGTCTCGGACTGCTCTTTTGCCAGCAGCGCTGATTCCGGGGTGGCAGAGTTTGATGGTTCTGTACTGGCCGGAGGAATCCCTTGGACCTGGCTGGGCTAACTTTTTGCAGCAGTGGGCGAGGCTGCTATGTATTTGCAGAAAATTCGCTAAGTAGAGGTGCACGTTTCATTGTTGGCTTTATTTATCTGGCAATTTAACTAGACTAGGACATGCTAAACAGTCAATGGGCTGTAGATCGAGTTGGATAATCTCACATACCGATAGTAAAAGTTCCCCTCTCCAGCCTTTTCTGCTTCTTCCACCCTTTCATACCCATGGTGACGAAAAGGATTCCATTCCAGAAACCACGCAGTGAGCCCATCGCGCCCACAGCAACAAGAAGCGGATATGATAGATAGCCAGGATCAACAAAGGCGTAAACACGGTTGACTGTTAGCGGTATCCATGTTGCTAGCAGTACGATGAAGAATATTAGTGGCATGAGTATGTAGTGTCTGAATGATATAGGCGATTGCTTGGGAAGCTTCAGGGTGATGCTGTTCGACGGATGTGACTGAAAAGCAGGAGTATTATTGATAGAGAATTGTTCTGTATCCTGTGGTTCTGACTTGGCATTTACTTTAACAGTCTTAGTAGCAACGTTGCTGTTGGGCTTATCAAAAGAGTTATTATATGTCGAGCCCAGGGGAATACGGTCATTGCTGATCAATTTGAATTTGCCTTTCAGCTTGATAATCTCGAGGCCAATGAGAGTGTAGAGTATCATTATAGCGAAAATAGTAAGCCTAGAGATAATTAGTAAACGAAAAATGAAAGAATAAGGTTAGAAAATATAGGTACCATATTGGTCCATAGTAAAAGAGTATGCGGAAGAGCACCCAATCGGGAGAGATCGAGCACCAAACCTGGAAATGATTATAGGTCAGTCACCCTATCGGTCGTGCTAGCCTCAGTTTCGGGGGAGGGCACTCACTGTCACACTGCTATACATGGGCCCTCTCTCTGGGGTGTGGATGAAGAGGAAAGTCACGGCAGGGATAAATACAAGGGTAGTAATGGCACCAATGTACTTCTTCTCAAGCATACGCAAAGCTGCAGCATCATATTGATAGAAGACAACAAGGAAGACGTTCCAAGCTGTGGCAAGTGTCCAGAATACATCTGCCAGCGGAAACCTGCAATACTCCTTGTCAACATTGCGTTAGATGGAGTAGGGTTGCCAGCCTCTGGACGCACATTTGGAGAGAGAAAGCCTGGAACTGGCATAATGCTGAGCCATTTCCCGAATCAGGCCCGTCAAGAGATATCATCGTAGCGATGAAGTCGAACAAGTTGTAGAACGCATTGATGAAGATGATCCGTTGGATAGGGTTGCGGAAGTGCCGCGAGAAGCTGAACGTGCCGATAATTGTCGCTACGCCTAGAATGGATAGCGACGAGGCGCAACGCTCAACGATGGTTAGGGCGCGAAGCTGCTCGTTTGATAGCGACATGGTAAACGTTGTGGGAGCATAGAAGCCTTTCTGTAATGAACAATTGACAACTTGGTATACAACAGTATGCAAATAGAAGAAATTGGTGAGCAATAAAGCATGTTGAATTATGACAGCGGCCTGTGCACAATATAAAATCAATACGGTAATAGATGGTGTGATTTTTTTACGGGATTCGAGTTAAGAGAGCTGAGAAAAAGCAAGGGTATTTTAGCTATAACTAACCACAGAGTACATGCGAACCATCACGCCATTTGGGGCGATATGGTATAATTATGTGATATCTCTTACATAAGTTCATCCATAGCACCGGTAGCCATAAGGGCAAGCCTCGACCACGAGACCTGCTATCTTTTTGAGATGGCAGATATCGCAACTTTTGACGATCTTTGCGTGCTCTGTGGAAGGAATCGGTTTTGAGTTCGACTAAGGAGGCCGCTGGCACCGCTACCAACACGTCCCTATGTACAGTATGCTGATCCTGAGGAGGTTCTCTTGGGCATATTGTGGCTGGGTGGGTATTTAAAATAATACCCAGAAAACCCAGCTTCTATTTGGATTGATTCTAAAGTAATCTGATAAAACACAGTTGGAGATCCTAATTTTTGTGCTTGAACTGAGCTCACCATAGTGTTTCAGTCAAGAATGAATGAGATGTTCGGCATCATATGGCTGAAGGAAGATAGAGCCCGGAAATCCTTGGCTTAGCGGTTAATTAGTACTACTACTATGGCTGAAGGATCTTTACCAGATAGTATGTCCAGTTATTTCACCATTTCCAGACAAATAATGCCTTTGAGAACTCCCAATACTCGGGATACCAGCCCGCTTGGATTTGTGATGGCCATGGACGCACCGGCAGAATGTTTACTCATTTGTTTTCCAAAAACCGGCTTCAACCAGGTCATCAATTTCCCATGCATATGGCATATTTTCTCCGCCATTGCTAACTTGTATTTCAAATGGCTTGGTCTAAATCCCCAGGGTGCTTCCTAGGAAACACTGTCGGCAAATTTCGCAACGGGACTCATAGTGATCGTACTGAGATGTTGTGATAGGCGGCGGCTTCGACAAATCAACCGATTCGACACCCCAAGAAAAGCAATTCAACCAGCATAGGAAAAAAGAAAGATAAATAGCTACACAAACTGAAAGGCCACCTGACAGAGAGGACTCCTTCTAGTGTATCAAGCGATGAAGATGTTTCATCTATGCCATCTGCTTGGCAGCTGTCCCGTGCGTATACTTCAGCTTCCAGGGCATATTTCTGAGGAAACTCGCGCAGCCCATCTTGCATAGCTAAATCAGGCATGAAAGGTTTCATTGCATCTGAGGATAGGTTTTCTCCTAATGTTTCGCAGCTCTCCCAGGGGGTATCATCTTGCCACAGCTGGGAGAACAATGTATCCGGGTGCGGCAGGTCATCAAAGTCATTGAGTTCATCAACGCCGACAATTTCACAACTACTGCGTCTCAGTCCGTGAACCATATTTGAGATGTCTAGACCTTATTAGAAAAAAATAATGGTGACATAAGCATTAAACTAAAGGCTCCCGATTTCGGGCATTTGGAGATGAGGCTTCTCTCGCAGTTGTTCATATTGTCCTCCTCAATAAGTTGATTGATCTTTGCTTGATCCTGTGGGATGCTGCGCAGGGCTCCTATGAACTTTGCAGGTGTAAAACTTGCAGAATGAAATGCTTGGTAACAGGGGGTTTGGGTGGAAGAGGATGGTTCATATTGACAGAAATAATTCTGGACAGAGTGTAAAACGTGATGTGCTTGAGATGCTTATTGATTAATGTGGGAAACAACGAGAAATTATAATCTGGCGACAGAACAGACATGCTAATGCCATACATGTAAAGCCACTACAATCTTCAGCTGCAGTGGATAGAATATCCAGCCAACCATCCAGAAGTGACGGAAACCCAATGATCCTTCCCGAGAAGACCAGACGCGTTCACAGGCGCCTCAGCAACCATCATAATACCCTGCCATTCGTATTCTGATTAGGCCAACATAATTCAATCATTGCCAGGACCATTCTGAAGATTGCGCACTCCCCCAAACAATGCTATAGCCTTGGCAGACGCTGCTGATGTCTTCCTCGCGCCCCTCTGAGAATATTTCGAGAGAATTTAATGCGTTCATTAGCCATTCTGGCGGGATGCATAACGCCGAGACATCCGGTCAACTCAGAGATAATGAAAGAAGAGTGATAACGCGCAGCTGAGCGCTATGTTTCTAGGCAGAAGTCCAGAGCTTGGAATCTGGGCTTTCACGGAACGTCGGTCGCCGACGATCGACGAGGAATTTTTGCCTTTGGATATCTGAACAGCAACAGTGGTCATTGAGTGGCTTAGTCTTGCACGTAACGGGAGGCAATGTGGGGGCGAGACGAGGCAGATTTCTGACAGTTGGAAAACAACAGCTGGCATCTGTCGATAGTCGGCAGACCGCACTGTCGTTAATTTTCTATAGACGTAGGAACGAAGGTACCAAGGCATAACAGGACAAATTTCAGATTCTGAAAGACCGTAATTCAGTAAAGGTTAATCAAGGCCAGGAGACTGTATCAACTGCGTCAAAAGACTGCCAGTCTGCTCATCGAAGAGAGGACCGCCATGTTTCAGTGTCACCTCAGCGGTCGAGAGAGGGACGTTAATGAAGGTGGAGACAGTGGTGCTCAGCCGCAGTTTACGGGGTTAGAGAGCGCGTGCAAGCGATCGGGCGGGTGTAGAATAAAGAGGGGGGAAGAAGAAAAATTGAAGAAGTTGGAAGGATGGAGTGTTAGAACAGCGAGAGGTCGGTTTTTATATTCTCTGGGACAGGCGGTGGTAATTAAGGATGGGTGTATCGGGACGCCATACCTGAAGCGGCAAAGCTAACCGGAAGGGGGAATTCACAGGTCCTCGCTTTACATATTTATAGAATATGAGGACCTGTGAAAATGACGCCAAAAAATGACCACTTTTGAGGTCGTTTACGGCCGCATTTCCACTTGTAACGCCCAGCGCGGTAGTATCTACTAGTGAGTGAATCATTGTATAGATGCCTGGAGGGTAATGATCGTATTATTACTGGCTCTTTGTCTTTTTCAAAAGCTTCTTCCCTTTCTTCTTCCCTTTCTTCTTCTTTTTCTCCTTCCTTTTCTTCTCCCTTTACTTTTATATCTTCCTCTCTCTGCACTTCCACGCCATTTCCTTAACCTATAGAATTCCTCATTGCGGGTTCTCTGATCTCTACACAGCAAGATGAAGAGGAGCAATAGTGAGCTATCGAGCCCTAGTCAATGCTACAAGCGCCCCTACCAAGGTATGGACCGACCCTATACCCTGACTACCTTATCGGTGCTTGGTCGACTTGCTAATCTGGATCTGGTGGAAATAGATGAGCCCAGGTCATCAGGCTTACAATCACCTGTACCTCAGTCGTCGCAACCATTCATTGAATCCTCACAGCCCGTCTCTATTGTGACTGAGAAATCCCTAGGTGATAATAGCTCCAGCGAGAAGGGACGCTGGAGAGAATATGAAGACGAGCCTGACAAATTTTTTGAACACCTTGACTTGCCTCCAGCCTCCAAGGTGTACCTGAGACGCAAATTTCAGTTACATGCAGAAACTACAAAGGATAACCTCAAGAGCTTTCTAGTCTTTACTGCTATGACTGACCTTTCACGAATCAAAACGGTCATCGGGCTTTCTGGGAAGGAGAAATCTATTCAGTGGTCACTACTTGATTTGAGTAGCTCATTAGAGATGACAGATGCATCTTGTGATGATTTGATTTTCTGCTGGCTTGAAGCCATGAAAATCAACTGCTTTGTGACTGCAGAACATACAGATGAGTATGAGCAGCTTTTTTGTTACCTGCTCCCGATAGCTGTCAAACCTGTGGAAGAAATGTCAGACGTTGTTGCATCAGCATTCCACAGAGAAGAAAGGCCAACTCCAGATGGACGACTAGCCAGTGAGGGGATATACCGCAAAATTGTCCAGTACTACAAGGCTTATCCTAATGGAAAATATTTGGCACCATATACATCGGTAGTGGGGCCTTCTGGTATTGGGAAGAGTTTCATCATATCCCAAATGGCCCATGGCTACGGCGTATATGTGGTGTACTCAAATTTCGCAGAAAAAGGAAAGCTGCCATACCCAGAGAGGTCAGCTATTGCAGACATACTACCACACAAGGAGATCAGGACTGTTCAAGCCTCTTTCTGGGAGAGTTACCTAATGGTAGCCATGTGTGATGTAGAACTCTGCAGGCGTGTTGGAGTATCACCAGGTGGTTTTTATTGTCTACAAACAATGAAAGCATATCGTGACTACCAAGAAGATTTCTCAAAAAGAGTTTTCACCTTCTTCAAAAGCTACAGAGACATAGATATGCAGTTAGATGAGTCTAACCAGAAACGTCGTGCAAAACTCGCTGAGCTACTGTGTGCCAATGTTGAAGTGTCTGAGAAAAGGCTGGAATCATGGCAGGAACATCTTAAAAAAAACAACCACAACCCAACAGTTACAGCAGCCACAGGCAAGAATGTTCCAAATGCCTTGATCTGTTTAGATGAAGCTCGTACATTGCTTGATGGGGAGGAGTCTCTTTTGTTTCGGTCCTTCAGAGACGCGATTCGCAGCAGATTTGCCCGAACCAGCAAGATGGGAAACCTGAATCTGACCAAGCCTCAAGGTGATTTCTTTGCGCTTC